CAAAAAAAAAAAAATAAATAATAATAATAATAAAATAAATAATAATAAATAAATAATTAAAAAATTTACCTGCATTGCAGCGCTTTCTATCTAACAAAGCAATTAGTACTTAACTAGAATTTTGTATATCCTAAATAACAGTATATATTCAATAGTAGCAATAATTTGGCATCGGTCTCTGCATAACTACCCCACACAGTTTATGATCATATTTCATCATGCTTCTCACCTGTTATACCACACAAAAGTCATTTAGGATCACTTCTATAAAAATAATGAAGGTAAGCTCCTTTTAAGTTGAAAAGTTAACACTGCCCATGGCTTATGCAGAAAGCTTTTTTTAAAGTGCTACATTGTAGTGTTCTTCTTTCTCTAGCATTAAACTTATCCAAAAACTTAACAAACGAAATAATATATGACCTCAGATAAGCCACATTGCTGACTGATTATCACTTCAATAGTGAGACATTTTAACAGATAGAAGGAATCTGTGAAAAATGACTCGTTCTAAAAAAAAAAAATAATTACCCTTATTGAATTTTAAGCACTATATACTTGAAGATAAATTATTACAGCAGTGATACATATTATGTAGTACAATTCAATTTAAAAGAGTCGCAAAATATGACAGAGAAGGAAAAANTAAAAAAAAAAAAATAATAATAATAAAATAAATAATTATAAATAAATAAATAATTAAAAAATTTACCTGCATTGCAGCGCTTTCTATCTAACGAAGCAATTAGTACTTAACTAGAATTTTTTATATCCTAAATGACAGTATATATTCAATAGTAGCAATAATTTGGCATCGGTCTCTGCATAACTACCCCAAACAGTTTATGATCATATTTCATCATGCTTCTCACCTGTAATACCACACAAAAGTCATTTAGGATCACTTCTATAAAAATAATGAAGGTAAGCTCCTTTTAAGTTGAAAAGTTAACATTGCCCATGGCTTATGCAGAAAGCTTTTTTTAAAGTGCTACATTGTAGTGTTCTTCTTTCTCTAGCATTAAACTTATCCAAAAACTTAACAAACGAAATAATATATGACCTCAGATAAGCCACATTGCTGACTGATTATCACTTCAATAGTGAGACATTTTAACAGATAGAAGGAATCTGTGAAAAATGACTCGTTCTAAAAAAAAAAAATTACCCTTATTGAATTTTAAGCACTATATACTTGAGGATAAATTATTACAGCAGTGATACATATTATGTAGTACAATTCAATTTAAAAGAGTCGCAAAATATGACAGAGAAGGAAAAAGTACTTATCACTGTGGACACCATACCAGACCAAATGACACATTCATTCCTCTTTGTTTGTCTTATTCCCCACTCAATTAAAAAACCTCACACACTCAAAAGATGAAATATTTATTGAAAGGGACGGAAAATGGTCCACCGATTTTTCCCTTCTTTTTAACAAGTTCATACCAGGCCCAACAACTTTCTTTTCTTGACTCGGGTTTAACACACAAAAATAGCAATGCATCATCTATGAACACAGGCAACACTTTAATTAGAACTTTGGCAACCTACCCAAGCTATTTTTAATGAAAGCATTCAATTTGTTTACATTTTTGTATAAACAAGTATTATAACATATTTTCAATTTATTTTTGGAAATAAATATATTGGGCATATGTTTGCAGTGATAAAATGTTTAATGCTAAAGCAATGTTTATGTAAACATGAGAAGTTTATAACAAAGACACGTTTATTCAGTAGTTCTTCTTCAGCCTCTCATTTTCCTCTCGCAGTCGGTGGATCTCTGCCACAAGTTCTTCGTTGACTGAAAATTCCTGAAGCATAGACCTGACTTCATGCTGAAACATACAAAATATTATTAAGAATAATTACAGTTTTTCACTGATGTCTTTTTGTTCTTGGAAAAAAGATCTTTCAAGCACATGCACAGGAGGCTTCAAGAAGTCAGACATTTTGGAACCTGAAACTTTTTTGATTAAGGCTTAGCTCATATCAATATCAGCAAAAACTAAAGAAAAATTTTGATCCATTAGATTTCTGATAAAGTAAGAAGTTTAGCAGTCTACTTGTGTCTAAAAATGCAATTAAGGTACCAAATGTTTTTTGTTTTAAGGCAGTTTGAAAAAGGCTAATTACTTCCCCAGTAACAATTATCAAAAAATAATAATAAAAAAATGAAGTTCACTCACCAGCTGAATTTGAAATTGTTTTATCATCTCCATCTGTAGATGAATGTGTTCCCTGTGCATCTGATCTCTGAACTCTTCCATGGCTTCCTCCACAACATTCCTGATAAACTCTGTGTGAAATGGTTGAATACCCAGGGGCACACCCTGGGGCGTGGTGGGTGTGGTCCCTGAAGCCGCTGCCCCAGCTCCAATGCCCCCAGAGAGTGGGACAACTGCATTACTGCTAGAGTTTGTAGTAGAGTAAGCAGTCTGTTGTTGGTGCTGCTCTTGATGTGGTTTCCAATCAGATCCGTCCATCCAATCTCCTGAGCCACGACTGCTTGTTATGTGTGATGAAAGCCGAGACACCACTCCGTCTCTCGAGTCCACTTTTTGACCACTGGTCATTCTCTGTCTCTGACTGCTCTCAGCTACTGTCCAGCTGTCTGAATGCCTTTCCCCCATCCGTGATTCAGTCTCTCTGGAGGACAGGTCTTTTGGTCTTGTTGTGACCTTGTCTGACCTATAGAGGTCATCACTTACAGCAGCCTGGGTTCTGGGTGTTCTTGGGGTTCGTGGACTTCTTGTGCTGCCCTCTGAAATACCTGTTAGTATGTTGATATATCAGTCTGATTAATATTATTATTATTATGTTTACAATCACTGTGTAACCACTAATGCATTATTTAAAAAAAACTTAATCTCTAAAACAGCACAACAAGATGCATCTACTAGTAGAATTCTTAACAATTCTCTCACCTTGCGGTACATATAACTATAATTGGGTAATGAAACCTTATCTTTAATGAAAATGACGTGATGATATCTAGGTCTCTTAATAGAGTACTCTTACCTTGTGGTAAAGGTAATCTGACACCAGGTGTGCCATTCATGTACTGGTATGACTTGCTCTCTACATCTTCATCTGTAATTCCAGCTCCAGTATCTGCATGGACCTGTGAATAATGAGATCAGAAAAACTGATTGCTTTGAAGCTTAGTATAATACAGGATTACTGGCTCTACTTCACTCTGAACAGTTTTTTTCCCTAGTAGGAACGTTACTTGTTGTTCACAATTACAATCAGTTTAGTATGACTATGTGCAGTCCATATAGAGTATAGTATTACCTGAGTATAGTATTACCTCTTGTTACTAAATTAACTATGTCCAATTTCTATTTGAATCATGGTTTCAACACCGTTTTATAATCAGATATGATGTAATTTACGACGGTTAGTGGGTTTTTACTTTACTCCAAAATGCTAAAAAAGTCCTGCTTTATTCTAATAAACAATATTGGAGAATATGCACTCTTTCATCATTGGTGGTCTATTTCCTATAAAACTACCTCTGAACTCTTTGCATGCAGGCCATCTTCAAAAGAAACTCCTGTTGTGATTGGACGGTTTCCTAACAATGAAGAGTCATTGAGGCTACCAGCACCAATAGGATTTCTTCTTAGTGAGGTGTTGGATGTATTAGCAGACAAAGGTGAAAACACACCTCCTACAAGACAAAAATAAAATATATCTTTCTGAAGTACAATCCAAATTTCACCCCTTTTATATTCCTTAGACAAGTTAACCTGTATTATTCTTTAAGTTTTGGTGACAGAGATTGTTTGGCCCCGTTTTTCCTCACAAACGGCTATTACTGGACATTACAACAAGTGCAAAGGTGAAAATGCCGACTGAAGGATCACACCAAGTGCCACATATCATGCAGCAGCTCATGTGCAGCAGCATGTAGCAACAGACCCAGGCATGGAGTAACTTGTATCTGTCATTCCTAACCATTTCTGTACCTTTTGATCTTGAAATCTGTCAAAGTATAACAGGCTGAAATGCCAAACTAGGTCAAAGGTCAATTAAAATGCAGTAAAAACCTGCAGTAAAGCTGTCCTGCTGCCTGCTCCCCACGCCAGCGGCCATCCCAACAATGTCTGGTCTGTTCTCTGAGGGGACATTCTCAAAGGTCCTGCTGTTAGCGACCAGCTCTGATCCATCTCCTGAACCACCTAGAGAGGTTTTGATATGAAAAAAAGGTGAACAGCGTCTGTTTATACATGAAAAAAAAGAAAAAAGAAAAAAAAAGAGTGCATTCTAAAAATTACACATCAAGCACCTGGGTAACAGTTTCTTGTTTCTGGCATTCTTGACACTTTTTTCACACAAATTTACAACTGGCTTTGTCTTGCCATTGCTTGTGCTAGAGTTCTACACTTATTATTCCAAAAGTTAATCATCATTATCCCAGATCAGTAGTCTTTTGTGCTTCTTTAAACTGTTAGAGCTAATCAGTTGATGAATTCTGATACATACATCAACAAAAGAATGGAGCAGCCATATGTTGTCATCCAACACACACAAGCATGCATGCATGCACGCGCGCACACACACACACACACACACACACACACAACCCCAGTTTTACCTTCTCTAAGAGGAGAGAACATATCCTGCTCTGTCGAGTCCTGTAGATGCTCCTCTCTGATCTTAGTAAGGTTGGTCTTGTCAGTCAAGCTTGCTGTAATTGAATAGGAGTGCCAACATCAATACAGAATCCCTTATTGTACTAAAACCAGTTTTATCAAATATAGAAATGATATCAAAAAGAAAAAAATCATTATTATAAGGAGTTAAGATTTAACCAGCTGTTTTATTCAACAATAAATGAAATTAATAAGTCCGCCATAACATTGGCATTGTTTGCACTGTTCACAAAATTTTATCTAATGTCAAAATATTCAAAGTGGCTGAAAGTTGTATTATTTGTGTTCCTTAAACATTAAATTACAATCTTGGCAGAAACTGTTACAGTAATGGAGAGGAGAGAGGAAAAGATTTCAAGATGATTCACTTTCCAATTGTCACTAACACCCTCAACACGAGTAAATACCTGTCATTACATTGCTTACAAAAAATCTATCGTTTTCAGGGGTAAGGTTGATGAATACTGTACCTCTTTGTGCAGGTGTTTCTGGCTCCATCTTGTGATTGGACTTGGCAGCACCAGCTGCTTTCACAATAGAGGAAGCTGCGGTCTTTGGTGGTTGAACTGTCCTGGGAGTGGCAGACGTAGCTCTCTTACTTCCGCTATCCTTTGAAACAGATGACTCCAATTCATATTATGGTTGAGGGTCATAACATTACCCATGAGCAAATCAATAAAAAAAAACTCTTAAAATGTCTATCAATAAATATTTAAATCTCTAAATATTTTGATAGGAATATCTGGTAGTTAATATTTTTTTTAGCCAAATTGCTCCATAATTTTAGGCAACTCAAATACTGAGCAAAATCATGGATGAAATCGGCTAAAAAATTAAACAAACAGAAAAATAAGTGTAAGTATTCCACATAATCCTAAGCTCACAAAAATTTGCTTAGAGATTAGCCAAACATAATAATGGAGTGGACCCAGACTGTGTTTTTCTCTATACCACTTATCTCTCACCTTGGAGGGTTTATAATTAGACTGGAAGTTCAGACACTGCACTGAAGACTTGTGAGCATTCAGCGACCTCACTGGAGTCATTCCTTGGCGGAGATCATAAATGTGAACCATGCCACGCGTGGTGCCAACTGCAACAGTCACGCCGTCATGTAGCATGTCAACGGATGTCAGGGGACTGTCAGCTGTAACCGATTTAACAGCCCTGAAATTGAAGAAATACATCTTTTTTTATTTTGGATGGAATCTGTTTAGTAGTAGGTCCAATGAAAGAGCTACACAAGATCAAGTATGCTTTATTTACCATTATATAATAAATAAATAAATGCGTTATGGGATTGTTTTCTTGACTTAACTTATCAAAAGTTTGTCGAAAGCATTCTATTCAAATAATTTAAATCAGTCGAGACAGCATGGCTGGTTAATGTAAAGACATACAGAATATAACGTGTTAATGTTAAAAAGCTTTAAAAAGCTAATTATTTTAAAATTTGCATACTTTTTTAGTTTAAGATATCCCACAAAACATACAAATGCTTACATTATTTAAAACAAACATTTAAAATGATTAACAAAACATCTGCCTGTCTTTCTCTTGAATCTGGAACTTACGTTTTACCATGGACATCATAACATACAATTCTTTTGTCTAGTCCCACACTCATTAGCAGCATTTCATTGAGCGGAGAAAACACAAGTCCTGTCGCAGGAGCACGGTGCATGTCATTAAATGAATGTAGCAGGCGCCGTGTGTTTACGTCCCAAAGATTCAAGGCCCCGTCGTCAGATACAGAGCCAAGCAATGACTTCTTAAAATTGCTGTATTGGAGTTTACGTATTGCCTAAAAGTACATTTAAACGTTGTTATATTGTAAAACCACCACTTTCATAATGAGAAAATAGTACTTCAAGTGCAATGAACCTATTTTCTTTCCAATCCTACAAAAATTAATGCCAACATACAGTTACACCTATAACAGAGGTACACAAATATCTCAGCTTTCCATCACATATAGTAGGTTTGTGCTATCAGACAAGTGGAAAAATTATCACCTTACAAAAAATAACATTAAAATGTATAACCCTTGATTCTGCTGTGGGGACTTCAGAGACAATCAACATACTGATAAATAATAAAATAAAGTAATTTCATATTGAGCCTAGCAGTTCCTTCTAACAAGTACCTGTGTCTTAGGAGTGACCAGTGGACTGGAAGCTTGACCAGTGACCGCATTATGCAGGACAATCTGCCCAGACTCTGACCCTGAGGCCATGTAGGTGTCATTCCAGTTGAAGGACAAGCAGGAGACTGGAGATTTGTGATCCTAAATCAAAAAAGAAAAAAAAATCATGAACTGTGTTGTGGGCTCAAAGTTACAATTATATTTTTTTTTATTGTGACAGGACTTAATTTGTTCACACAAGACAAGATTTTTCAAGCTACAGACATTAAATTAAATGAAGTTGTTATATCTTGATGGAAATAAAAGGATAATTATAAACGTTATAACATTTTGATGTCTCTTTAGAAATTACACAAAACCTCACTAATTTCATTTTGCAGATGCTAAATAAGCCAGTGAAAAAATGACCTCTGAATTGTAGGAGTACCTTAGGAGGTAATGAAATACAACTATTAAATACTGACAAATTCAAGTTTAACTTCTCAATCTACAGTTGTGTGCGTAGGTCATACCTTGTAGACTTTCTTGAGTTTCTGGGTTTTGAGATCCCACAGTTGTAAGGAGCCGTCCTTCCTGCCTCCTAGCACATACCTGGACTGGGAGCTGAACACTGTGCAGCTGGTATCCTCCTGAATTTGAAGAAAGACGGGCGTACTAAATTTTTTATGGCAGAGTAAGAAAATATCCGTAGGTCCCCAAAGAATAATATGCTGCGTCCCATAGTTAGGAAACATGATATAATTTCTCTCTCTCTGTCTTTCTCTGTGCACTCAGGTGTGTGTGTGTGTGTGTGCGTGTGTGTGTGTGTGTGTGTGTGTGTGTGTGCGCGCACATGTGCGTACTCACCCCAAGTGTAACTTCCACTGCATTACTTGCAGCAGTTTTCATATATGTCAGCACAATCCTATCTCCACCAGAGCATGTACTGGCAAGGAAAAAATCTGGACACTTGGTTAAGGATTTAATGCTCACAGCTGTTATCACACTTTATAATAATATTAATATTAATAATTGGTAGTAGTAGTCTTAGTAGTAGTAGCAGTAGGAATAGTAGATGTATTACAAACTGTAATTATAAACTAACAAACTGAAATCTTTAATCACTCTTTGGGTGAAAAATATCGATAGGAAAACGTAACAATGAAAATAACACCTTTAACATGTGACTATACTTAAGGATAGGTTGTCAGCACTTTTTCACATTACATCAAAACCTAAAATTCTAAACATCCCATTTAATACTAGTACCATCATTTAGCAGACAATGTTTGATCAATAATGATTTACCCAACCACTAAAATGATGCCTGTTAAGCAGTCTATCCATGTAAAAAAAAACATCTATATATATATATATATATATATATATATATTAATAGTAAGGATACTATCATGACTCCAGCACAAGGACCCAATATTCCCTGGATGTGGGTTGTACTGTTTGACCAGCGTGTATCCATTGCAGTCCCATATTTTAATATCATCACCAGCCGAGGCTAGTTTAAAGTCGCCCATGTTGGATTGAAGCCAAGTGGACAACCTGTAAGCATTAAAAATAGTATGATGACTGTAAACTGTGTTTGATTGAAAGAATGTGCTACACAGGTATGCCAGATTTATAAAGCTTAAATAGTAAAATTTGTAGTGACTGGCCTGGGTAGATCCAGGTTCAATAGCTCATTGGTAAAGCACTCGCTCTGTTCACAAGCATCCCAGGTCCCTTGTTGAGTTAAGCAATTCCCCCCAAAACACTACAAAGTACAATGCAAATAGCAGTTTTGAAAATTTTACTATCGGACAACTTTATAACATTAAATCTGTGATTGGTTTAAAGTTGTAAAGTTTGAGCAATACAAGTGGAAAGCAGTCATAAATGACCAAGGGCTGTCTTTGATTAAAGATATAATTAACTTCTAGCATTCATTTTTGAAAGCATTTCATTTTTAATATAATCATATGATAAAATAATGTAGTAGTCAGACTGCCAATCCTGCCGTCTAGAGAAACAAATAAAATGTTGCACAGTTACCATTTATGCAAAACTGAGTAAATATGCTGGGGATTGAATCAAGTGATAACAATGAGAGATCTCTAAAAGGTAAGAGATACCAGTCTGCAAATTTTGTCAACAATCCCAATCGAACACTTAAGACAGTTTCCACATAATAATAATTGCATGACTGAAAAACAGAAACTGATTATGGGTCAGTTAGGTGCTTCTTAAATTTGGAAGTAATGAAAATAGTTACCTTGTACTATGTAGCGCTTGTCCTTGCCATTGCACGGTGTGTATATCAATTTACAATTCAACAAAAATTCGATAAATTTTTGCTTTTGCTCCCTGTTGCCTCACAAGAGAACCGCTTCATTGGAAACGAGGCTGAACTCGGACATCATTTTCCCATGATTCCAACTGTTTCCGCTTGGCGGAAATAAACAACATGGCCGAAACGGTGGCGCGCGGAAGGTGAGATGCTGTAATGAAATAATAATTATGAAAGAAACAAACATCCATGTAATGTGATTGTGTGGTAGAAAGTACACATTTACTCAAGGAAGACATTGAGTTCTTTTGGGATATTGATTCCGAGCCTGATTGTTTCTGCAGCCGACTTTCTCTTGCAGTCAGGTTGCACCAACTGCTTCTGAGGACAGTCAGTGAGCTCAAGTCGATGTTCTCGATGAGTGATACCTGACATAAGGCACGCATTTTTTTCCCACTAAATCACTCCTGTAAAAGTCTCTATAGATTCACGAGTGTATGAAATAAAAAGGACCACACAAGATGGAAACAATCTCAAATTCTTAAACTGAAAGTTTCCTCACACTTCTCCCCTTTTCGGCTTTTGCCGTAATAAAGTTGCATGCTAGGTAGGTGAGGCCTCATTCAGTCCACTCAGACTCTTTAGGCTATAAATACCTCCGTCCAGGGAAAACATTGTGTCCTCCATCACACCTTGTGGTATAATATTTGCAATTTAGTTCCTTTCATATCGGTTTATTCACGCTGCAGTTTGTTCAAGTTGTAGTGTTTTTATTTCATCTGTGCATCAACTACTACTACATACGCATGCCATTCAAAAGTGATGCTATACCTGAACTCAAGTTTTAGTGACATAGGGTGAAATAAGACCAAACCTGCTTGCATGTAAGGCCAAAAAAGTGTTGAAAACCAAGGGGTATAAATGCTCAGAGAGCAGTTTGCAAAAATTTGTCAGCAATTTTTTTCAAGACACCAAGGCAAACAGTTTAAGATTATTTTTCATGTGGGCTAAAGTTAAAGGACACTCCTTCAGTTTAAACTGTACTTGCACATGGCAGTGAATATAGATAATAGTAAATATGAAGACCAAGGAATGATAATTTTGACTAGATGAAGTGATATAATACTAATGATGTGTTGTTGCTACAGTTAATTGACAATAGTCTTCAAAAAATATTCCATGCAACAGCACTGATTTTCCATTTACAAATATTTTTTGTAATAAATAAAAAGAACATCCAAATTTTTCTTGATATGCCATTCTATGCTTATTAATTACTTAATGAATGTAAATATATTGTTTTCGTTATTTTTGTCAATTTCAGTGTGGAAATCATGCAAGAGCAAAATAATACAGATACTCAGACAACATTGGATAGCCCCAAGTTGAGCAGTTCCACTGGAGGCAGCATGCCAGGGACACCAGTAAGGTAAACAGCTCATCACTTCTAAACTTGGAAATGCTGGCGCAGTTACCCTGTCATTCACACCTGATATAAGGGTTTTGGAAGGCCAATTAATTTTTGAGAAATTCTTAGCATATGTCCAAATTTGGAAGGCCCTGAGGGGAGTGAGGTGGGTGTTTTGTACGGTTTATACATTTGGCTGTACACAGTCTTGACATATTTTATCTCACACAATCCACCCCTAATTTCCCCTTCATAAATTTTATATATTTATAACTTATCAAATATGTTTGTATTTATTCATATTATATATTTATTTATTGTGATTTATCTATTTATTTATATTATATGGTGTGTGCTTGTAAATGTATTATATATAAAACCTGGTTGTTTGCAGACTTGACCACACATACGATGGACTACCTATGGAAAATGATGACACCCTGCCCCCTGGTTGGAAACGACTTGTTACGCAACGCACCATGGGAAAGTCAGCAGGGAAGTTTGATGTATACATCTATAGGTCCGTGTAAAGTTCAATATAAATTATTGATTGATAATTGTCATTGTTGAAAATGATAGTTTCATTTTGAAGTTTGATATAAAATATTTATTGATTGATGATTGATATAATTGTAAAAGTACATGGTTTAATTGCATCAACTGAAACATTTAGGCATTTGATATTGATATGATCATGTAGAGATGATTGCATATTAGAGGATGACACATTCTTATAACACTTCTGACATATTGATAAAAATATTGACCTGAGTTCTTTGTCTCATTTCAGCCCAGAAGGCAGAAAATTTAGATCAAAGACAGAGCTCCAGGCTTATTTGGATAGAAATAAGATTGATTTAGACAGCAACGAATTTGACTTTACAGTTAGGGGAAAGCATAATACTCCTCAGAAAGTAACAGGGTCTAAAGATAAAAAGGCCCCCAAATCACCATCTGTCAAGAAAGTGAAAACGAAATTGGTCAAAAGACTAGAAATGAAACCAAAAAAGGAAAGTAAAATAAACATTCCCAAAAAGGCTTGCAATAAGCAGAAGCCAGTATATCAAAAACTTGTTGTTAAGATGAACTTTAGGCTGCCAAAACAAAGAAGGGAAGAGAAAGAAAGTGAAAATGGGGATCAAGACCAAAGAATCAAATCAAATGACTCAGCAACCAAAGCTGCCAAAAATATCAAGGAAAAAACACCGAAGATAGCAAAACTGAAGAAAGCTCCCAAACAAGGAACACAATCTCAACAAAAAGTCAAAGTCATTAAGAAAACTGCAGTTAAAGGAAAGTCAAAAGTAAAGGAGAACAAAAAGAAGCAAACAAAAGACAAACCAGTTAGCAAACAGAAAAAGATGAATGAAAAGGACAAAAAGGACAAAAATCCCAAAAGCAAATCAGAAAGTAAATCAAAAAAGAAAAAAGACTGGGAGAAAACACCAAAGGAGAAAAAGAAACGGGAAACAAAGAAAAAAGAAAAGGTCAGAAAATTGAAAACCAAGAATAAATTGCCACACAGATCAGTCTCACCTGCTGTACTGGACCATAGTTATAGTGCTCCACCTCCAAAACTCAACAGATCACTTTCACAGCCAGCAAACCCAACACAGAAATCTGAACACTCCAGGAAACGTAAATTATCAGAAAGATCAGGAGAAACTTTCAAAATACCTAAATTAAGCCCAGAGGCACTAATGAGTGGCTCACCAAATAGGAAAACTCCAGTTGTAATCAGCCTCCCTGTATCTCCATTGAGCATGAATATAAAAGAGTGTGACATTTTCTCAAAAGAGGGCAGCAGTGCCAAACGAGTCACCTCCCGGCAAATAACACCAGATGGCTCCCTAATCATCTCCCTAAGCCCAAGACGAGCCAGTTCCAGTGAGTCCCCAAGAAGTCCAAACTCAAGTCAGAAGACTTTGAGCCTGTCACCAACTGGGAACACCAGAGAGACACTGTCACCTACTTCTCCTCGATCCATGCTGAAACCATTGACAGTGTCACCAAGAAGTACCAAGGAGGCAGTGTCCTCAGTAAGAAATAAAGAGACATTGTCTCCAAACAATAAGACAGTTTCACCAGGTAGCCCAAGGCCTGTACTGACACACTTCACCAGTATAGGTCCTTTATCTGAGAAACCACGTCACAGTGGATCTGTGTCACCAAAAAGTCCACGTTCTATGTTGAATCAGTTTAGTGTCAAGCCACCGATTAATGTGTCACCACAGAATGCCAGGGTGACAGTGTCAAAGATAAGTCCAGTGTCCGTGCCATTAAAAAGGTTGTCTCCCGAAGAGGCAGTTAACATGGGAGTTAATCAGCAACTCAAGGGGAAGCCCCAAGGTGCGTTATGAATTGAAACTTATGGCAGTATTCGAGTTTTTATTGATCCTATATTCTAGGTTCATGCTAGCATAATTTCTGCTTGTCTGTCTGTTGAAAATACTTTGCCAAATCAATTGTCAGTCTAAATCATATTCAGTTTTTTTCTTCAAACAAAATCATTTGCTTATATCTTTTTAGTTAATGGTCAGAGGGAAAATAACATGCCAGGATAAGTCCTGCTTTAAGATATGTAATTCTCGGTATTCATCCTAGAATATGATTTTTAAGGAAATTGATTTGGACTGAATAATTTATCCTTGTGGCAAATGTAGTTGTCAGTTGAGGTACTGAATGTGTTAAATTGGTAAACCTCTACAACAATGTAAGTGTAAAATATTGTATAGAAGGACCTTTAAACTTGCTGAATATATTACCAGCAGTAAATATGACATACAGGAAAATTCATGTTTTATTCAAACTAATTTTAAAATATAAAAATAAATTAAAGCTGCACTGAATAATCTGCCCTATAATCTGTGCAAAAAGATTGCTTGATATAATTTGCAGTGAATCTTAGAGTTAAGCCACATTTCTACATTGTAGTAATAAAGTCAATATATGTATTAATTTTGTCTGTTAAAATATATTTTCTCTAAGGGCCATGTCTGTTTTATATCATCTCTGATATTTATTAATTATATTATATTATTTATTCATTATACTTTTAAAGTTTCATTAAATGAACATTTTAGCTGATTATCATGGCTCATGTTATATAATTTTGTTTTTGTGCACATGCATACCTATATGCACTTATTCATTTGAAACTAGAATGTTATGAGTTTCAGATAATTAACACTGCTGGTGGTGAAATTATTCATGGTTATTAAATAATTCTTGGGCAAAATAAAGGCATGGTATGATATAGTTATGATATATATACATGTACCTTTAAATTTTAAAGTACAGGTGTTTATTTAATGATAGATTTATGTATATTGAAGTATATTAGAGAAATTTCTGTGATTTGCATGTTAAGTTTTTCTTTGTTTATCAGTGGTAATGCCATATTGAAAATTGGTGGTTTATTATAAATAAATCTGTACATTATGTCTGCTGTTACAGTATTTAATTATTTTTCTGAGAATTAAAATTTCATGTGCCACCCATTACATTAACTCTGCCCTCATCCCAGAGGTCAATAATTGTATGATGTAAACTTAAGAGATTTTTTCAGATACTGGTCACAGTATTTTCTTCTTTTGGGCCAGTAGATTCTTAGGGACCATCCCTATACCCTGTGGTACTAGCAGGATCGATCTATCTCCAAGGGGTTTCTCGCTAAATTGAATTTAGTTTAAGTGTGCACTGAAGTTAATTACCCACCGAACAGCTCTGGTGGGCATGACGGACATTTAAGTCGCTTAAACTGAATGCATTTAGCAAGAATCCCCTCCCAGTTAAATTGCTCCTGCCAGTGCGATAGGTTTATGGGAACCCAGTTTTATTGCCCCCCCCCCCCCCCCCCAAAACAGCTTTAGTGGGCATGACAGACATTTAAGTCGCTTAAACTGAATGCAATTTAGCAAGAATCCCCTCTAAGTTAAATCGATCCTGCTAGTGTGACAGGGTTATGGGAACCCAGTATTAGACCCTGGTGCCCTGAAGGGCAGTGACTAAACATACGTAGGCTCAGACTGCACGTCCACCTGGAAAAAACAGCTTTGTCAGGATTATCACAAATCTTTTAAGTGTTAAGCCCTCTGAATGTGACCTTGTGCTGCTTTGAGGTTTTATTTGCTAAAAAGATGCCACTTGCAGAACCAACATTCAAATCCTGATTTTATATTGTACAGCTTCAGTACTGTACTTTGTATGTTTGAAGTTTATTTTTACCTTTGTATTTCGGTAATTTTTTATCTTTATATATTAATTAATGCCATAAATGTTTCACAGCTAAGGTTACTCAGACTAGATGAAGGTCAGTTGTCATATAGAGAAAAAATCCATTTAAAAACTTGACATTCTTTTAATAATTATATCTTTTTAATATATTTGTTAAAGCACCAGATTTACTGCACCCATGTTTTCAGAGCACTGATGGTTTTGAGTGGTGCATTATGGTATAGAGTGAAGTGAGGTGAGGGATTTGTTAATTGTGTAAGATGCAGAAATACATTACCTGCTACAGAAAAGTGTCAAAAGTGTTTTCTTACATATGTTACATGTGCAAGAGACAGCGATACATGTGCCAGCCACAAAAAAGTCTTTGTTACACATATTACATTTGCCAATTTAGAATAATCTAGAACGGGTTTAAACTAAAATGTTTGGAATGTAAAATGTCATCAAAGGATCAAATAGTGCAAATCCCTGGTGAATTAATTTGGTCATTTGGTGAAAAAATAGTTCCAGAGAAAGGTTGTAGTTTTAATATCTGCACCTGACTTGGTTGTTGACTCTAACTTTCACATTTCAGGATGTGCATGAAGCGTCCTCTGAAAGTTTTGTAGTCTCTTTATTCTTTATTACACAATAATGTTCATTAAAAATGAAAATAAAAGTGTCAAAAGTTGCCTTTTTCTTGTCAGTTTGGTTTGTCGTTCTTTAGGTAAGACTTTTATTATTTAGTGTCTTTTTGGAGTCCACATTCCCCATATGAGGAACCAAGTTTTAACACAAATCTGAGATGCATGATTGTGTAGTTTTATGGATTCACCCTGAATTTCAGAGGACACTGGAAACTTGCCTCTCTACTATCAATCTATCTTAGATGTTTTCAGTGCCCTCTGTATCTCAGGGTGCACATGCTGATACAATCAGGTGATCTTAGTAACTGATCAGGGATTAAAGTATTCTTGGTGAAATAACAGGGATCCTTGCTTGGTTGTGTTCTAAGCCAAATTGGATTCCCTGTTAATCAATAATGTGCATCCCTGAATCAGCTCTCAATCTCCTTAGACCTTCTAAATGAGTTGTTATTTGTCGAACTAAAGAAATATCTCCCATGGGGTTGCATGTTATTTTTTGTTACCTTTTGCTAGTGTGATGACACTGTGTCAAATTAGACACTACATGAAATATGAATCCAACATCTCATGACTGTAATGGAGACCACAAAATGGAGGACAAGAACTGAACTTTTTCATCACATCAACCACAAAGGATGACTGATGTGTCATCAGGCTGGCAAGGAGTCAATCTAAGCACTGTTTGAAAGTCTTCATCCATAGATTGTCATTTACATAATTATCCACATTGGCATGGCAGTAGTCAGGAGTCGAAAAGTGATTTTTGCTGGAGAGGTTGGGGGAAAGGTTGCTTGGCTACTCCCTTTGCTTAAGGGTCAACCTTAGCAGTGAAATACATCCAAGGAAAATAGAAATCCTGACCATGTTGATGAATGGTAAATTCACAAAAACTTTTTGGTTCTTTTTATTTATTTATATTTTTTTAACAAGTAATGATAGGCAAAAATTGTATTTTCAGATTCTGCTGCACTCCCAAAAGATAAGAAAACCCAAAAAAGCAAGTATTTTCAAGCCAAGGGTACACTTCCTGCACCAAAGAGAAAGAAATTTGAAAAGTGGACTCCCCCAAGGTCGCCTTACAATTTAGTTCAGGAGAGCTTGTTTCATGATCCATGGAAACTGTTGGTGGCAACAATATTTCTTAACAAAACAACAGGTGGGAAAATCCCTTTTTCCCGGATACAGAGGTTTAATTTTAGATATGATTTCAGAATATTTTCAATTCTAATTTTTGTGTTATATGGTTGCCAACACCGCACAACTACTAGTACACTAACTCCCGGATACCAGTTGTGAAGAAATGAAGACTAAATATTGGTAAGGACTTATAGACCAGACATTCTGTGTTGTTTTGACCCAAAAATTTTCAGGGGTGTCTTGTTACTCCTAATAAAAAAAGAAATGGCAAATGTTTTACACCAAGCCAATAAAGATAGTACATAAACTGGTTTAGCAGACAACCACAGATATAGCTTAAATTGATCCAGAAGTCTTAAAGTTAAGACCAACTTTCAGCCTCATGTTTGTTTATCCAAATTCCAATAAAAAATGATAGTAATGGGAAAAACAAGACCTTGGCAGGGGGTTCTCAACCTCACTGCACGGGGTCCATGTCATTAGTATAATAAAATGAAAAACTCCAGAGGAGAAAAGTACGGTAATACTCGATTTTTTTTCAATGGGGGAAAATTCTGAAATTTACAGATACTGTAATTTTGAAGTCATAAATTCTTGAAATTTAAACAGTCCAATTGAGTGGTCACAACAAAACTGCAAAGCAAGCCACCTTGTACTGCATTTCGATGCTATAAAAGTGCTACACAAAATAAATTTTTTGAATTAATGGTTCCAAAATTATGATTGTTAATTTTTCCCCATTGAAAAGATCGAGTCATAACCGTATCTCATATTCTAATGTGATTCTACATATTAACACATTTTACTTTCTCTTGACTACCAACTGTTAATTGCTTCGTGGGTTTCGTAGTATTGCGAGTAACAAACAAGCTTAAGGGGGTTCAATACTTCGTAAAGTTAAGGTTAACAATTGTCACATAAAGTTAAGGTTAACATTTGGCAAAATACTAGCCTTTTTTTCTTTTTTTAATGTGAAATATTTACTCCTTTTTATGTACAGTTGCTGGATTCACCACCTCATACACTTCTACACATATTTAACACATTTCTAGCAAACAAGGCATATATATATATATATATATATATATGTGTGTGTGTGTGTGTGTGTGTGTGTGTATGTATATATATATATATATATATATATATCCAGTAACTGTCATTAAAAAGAATAAACGTTAACTGGAATCTGTTTCTTTTCTTCTCTTTTCTTGTAATATTGACAGGCAAAGCTGCAATTCCTGTCCTGTGGCAGTTTTTAGACAAATGGCCATCAGCAGAGGCAGTACAACACGCTGACTGGGAACCAATCGCACAACTGCTGCAACCTCTGGGGCTGCACGAAAAGCGAGCCAAAACAATTGTCAAATTTTCTGGTAAGTGTTTATAAAGACTCGGTTTCAAATTTAATAAATATGCGATAAAGTGGTGTCGTAAATTCTATTAAGAGTTTAAAATTGCTTTCATTTACTCCGTTCCTTAATTGTCTGATAAATTCACAACATATATGTGCCCCTGAATTTTTTAGAATTATCTCTTGCAGTTTGGTACCCTAAACTTGTGATGAACTTAATAAATAACTGTACCCACAAACTTAATAAATTACTGCACTCCCAAACCCTCTGATTAATCTTTACAGTTGGAATTCTTACAGGTGTCTTGATTAGTACCCTTAGTTTTGAGCCATGAATAATACAAAACATTTTATCAGAGTTATTAGATAAGAAATACCAAATTTTATCATTTAGGTCTTAATCGCAGGCAAAATATCATGTACAATGTAATTATAATGTCTTCATTTAAAAAAAAAATAGCATATTGGTGCATAGGTCCTGTTGGAATAAATTCAAAATGACAAGAGGAGTGCAAAATTACTTCATGCTGATATGATTTTATAATTTTATTGAAAAACATGTTTTTAATGAAAATGAATTAGCACTAGGTTGAACAAACATTGCTGCAGCTGTTTCCCTAAGTGATTAGCACCTGAACACATATAATTTGTAGAATTAGTAGTAATTATTAGAAATTAGTTTTCCACTGAAATTTAACAGTGTAAAAAAGTCACAATAGCTTTGACCAGATATTGAACAAATACTGTCTGAGAGCCAAGAGGCATTCCAACAAATAAGTTCCCATTTGCAAGTATGGTAATTACTTCATCTTTTCGATGGGCAAAAATGATCAAACCTTCAGATACATAATTTTATAATCACCAAAATTACATTTTTATATAACATTTTTGGTGCTTTTAATGCACAGAATAAAATTACAGAGTAGCCTGCTTTTTAATTTTGTTGCTACCACTCAACAGGAATCTCCCTAGAAATTATGACTTAAAATATACAATATCTGTAAAATTCACAATTTTGCCCCATTGAAAAGATCGAGTAATTACCATACTTATTGACTGACTGGACGGCCTTGTGGTTAGAGTGTCCACCTCGGGAGTGGGAGAACCTGGGTTTGACCTAAACTGGGGACATACTGGTCCTTCATAAACAGTACCTGCTATCTCCCCGCTTGGCACTCTGCACTAAGGGGTTGAAGCAGGGGTCTGGTCTGGCAGTGGAGAAATGGTACGCTTGCTAGCTTTGAGCACCTCATACAGCAGACGGGCTGTATCCCCCCCAGGGAAGTGAGAGCGACAACTTGAAGTATGAAACAGGGCCAAAATCACCAGGCTTCCTTTGAATTGTAAATTTAATAAAAATTTAAAAAAGGGGGTTGTCAAATCTCAATAAAGATTATTAGTATTATTTTATGCATCATCCCCCTGTAATGATTGCTGTACTTAATTTCAGAGGAATATTTGTCCAAGGACTGGAAGTACCCCATTGAATTATATGGCATTGGAAAATATGGCAATGACTCCTACAGGATATTCTGTGTCAAAGAGTGGAAACAGGTAGAGAAAAAATTATTGAGGGGTGGTGGTGGTGGAGTTCTACACTTATTTTTGGATGTTGAATTTTGTCTAGAAAGTTAACATATTAATATATGGTTATTTGACTAGGAAAATTGTGAAATATTTGAGTTTTTTTCACAAATCATCCATTATGTGGTGAAGTACTTTGATCTGGGTAAAACAATCCAGCAGCTTGGCCACAGGAAACAGGAAATTATTAACTCGGGAAACACAATTTAATGATAATTATCATTTGTTATAGGTTCACCCTGAAGATCACAAGTTGAACGCCTACCACAAGTGGCTTTGGGATAACCACATTGAATTGGGCATAGATTGACTGTTCTTCAACTGAAATTTTGGGATCAAAACAGTTCAAAATGAGGAGCAAAATACCTCTAAAGGAATCATGCGCAACATTTTGTTTAATGGCCAATGAAAATATCATGCAGTTGGTGATCATTGTTCGATGTATATTTGATAATTTTTTTAGAAATATTTGAACAGGATATGTCCAACTTTTTAATTAATGGCCAGTTAAATCATTGTAAAAATTTTATAAATATATATATATATATATATATATATATATATATATATATATATATATATATATATATATTTTTTTTTTTTTTTTTTTTTTTTTGGAATGCTTTGATCAGGATAAATGTCATCTTTGGTTTGGCCTCCAAAGAAGTCGATACAAGAGATGTGAAAGCCATTCTCAATTGAACTAGATAGATACTTAGTTAAAAAGTGATCAGAATTATCAGAACCCCTGGTTTGGGGCCACGCGTCCTTGGGAATTGCTGGGGATGGACGACCTGATGGCTTGTGCATGTTTTGGTATAATCCACCAAACAATAGATCATGTTTCTTCATTTTGATGTATTTAATAAATGTTTTTTATTGTGGTTCTGGAAGGCTGTTTTTCAACTGAATTATAAATAAAAGTAGGCACATAAATAAATAAGAAAGACGGGTGATTTTTTAAAATATTATTTATTAATATAATTATCACAAATATCAGTTTGGTACTTACAACACATTTTATTTATACATATTAGTCAAAGTAATTGATTTTCTTCAGTTCGTATGTATGATAATATTTTACAGTCACAATACTGTTATATTTCAGACATAAAGTTTTACGAAGAGAGCACAAATGATGATCTGTACTTCCTTATTTTTGCTGAACTCGTTAAATAAACAGGAATGAAACGCATTATGAAATAATTTCGTTTGCAATTACCATTGGTTTTTCGACATGTTAAGGGAAAAAATTGCTTTTTTCCTCCGTGAAAATGCGGATAATACGAAGAATATTTTTCTTCAAAGTCCTTTTTTTTCAAAATCAAAATACACCTTTACTCCATGGAATTTTTTCGGCTAGGGGGCAAGGGTGTCGCAGATGTCAATCGAATGTCAGGAATGTCTTTTTGTTCACTTTCAAATCTTTTACCGTCTTTAACTAGAGTCAAAATTCCCGTAGAAGAGGCATGTTGTTGTGGAACCGCCAAAAACGTTCCAGATTGCTTTGGTCTTGCGATGTCTTCTTCACTAACGCAATCGACCGCTGTCGCGTCGGTATCGTCGGATTGTCTCTCCTGTCCACTTGTATCATTTGTCTTTTTTTCTCCATTGTCAATTATGGCGACATTGTTGTTGCCATCTTCCTGAATCTTAGTAGTAGCGTCTTTATTCGGAATTCCATTGTCTAAATTAAGTTTTCCGTTTGGATCACCGCCGACTGAACTGACGCTTGTTTCTTCGCGTATAGAAGGTAACACAACATGCGGTTGAATGATTTTACGCGGGGATGGCTTCTCTTCTTTATTTTTCTTTAGATTGTCTGTCTGTTCTTTGGGTATGTCTTTAAGTCGACTTTCGTTGTCTCGCTCTTCGTCTACATGTAAATCGCCTGATCGTGTTTGATTGCCATTTTGAATTGCACTTTCATTGCCAGAAACAGCAGAACCCGTTGTCGGATCGTGAGATGTCGACACTACGTCGGCTTTCCCCGCAACTTGTTCTCCGGGAGAAGCAAGTTTGGTTCCCCGAAGGCAGCTTATTTCTTTTTTCGTGGATGACAAGGACTCTTGGGGGCCATCAGAGACCGACAGAAGCGTGATACCATGAAGTCGACGTGGGACCCGAGATTTTGGAATAATAACCGTGCTTAAGACCTCATCCTCTATTGACCGATATTGACGGGTTTTCAGCGAGTTTTCCTTGCCCCGCCATCCATCTCTCTGAAGAAGGGTGATGCTGTCTCTTCGCTTCGCGTGCTGATCCCTCGTGTCCACAATAGCGTCCAGCGCTCTGTCCACACTCACTTTTCTCATTTTGGAGTGCACGGGGAAACGCTTCATCGGTTTTTTACCCAAACTTCGTTTAAAACTTGAATCTACGAACTGATTGTATCCGGTTCGTGTTAGTTTACCCAGAGTTTCCTCACTCTGTACCTGACGGCCTTTGGGATGTTTGTCTACGAACGAAACGGTATGGAATCCATGATTTTTCAATAGCGGGAAGGATCGCCCGTGGTCACTTTCGATTCCGCTATCCACGGATGACGCGCAGTCTATATCCTTTTGTTCTCGTTGTTCGTATGGAGAGGGTCCCCTTCTTTTATGCAGCAAAGGATGCGACTTATTCTGTATGGGTGGCAGTAAAACTGTAACATCGACGCGGTCGGAGTATTGCGGAGCACCCTTCTCAATTTTTGGCAAGTTGTAATGTTTTTCTGACACCCCTTCTTTACGTTGATTGCTAGTAGCTCGCACGTTCTCCTTTACTTCATTTTTTCTGTTCCTTTCGGGTCGATCGTTGATTGGTGGCAACATCTTCCCAATTCTGTTCTTATGCGTTAATCTGAAATTAAGTCAAAAGCTGTCAAATTATCTAGAAAAGCACAACCGCAGTTCAAATGAATTTCCATATCGAAAGTTTGAGGCATCCTTGGGCACCCTATTTGCCAAATCAGAAGTAAAAACGAAAAAAATGTTGCTCGTAATCTGTAGATTTACATCACAGTAATCAGATTATTTTTACATGATTCTGTATTTCTATTTAGTAGAAAACACCTTCCTTTACAAGAACAACTTTTTTATCTGAGCAAATTATCAATTTGTGTTCACATATGGAATCACCAGCTCATTCAAAATTGGTAGGTTTTGCCGGTCAAATATCAGTTTCGCAAAAATAAGAATATTCAAAGGTGTTATATCTTCAAAGATATTCCATCAGTAAAAAAATCCACCTTATAACATATTTTAGTTGCCCCAAGTTTTAGAGCTGAACAGAGGCCCCAGTATCTGTATGGAAACAGCAACCTCGGAAACGACGGGTGTCTCACACAAGCAATTAAAGGACCTCCCCAATTTCTCCGAATCACGTGTGGTGACTTCTTTTAATAAGTCATGTATGGGTAGGCCCTACCATCAAACTATGTTAGTTTGGATTAATTGGAATTCGCTATGAGCTCTTTTCACTCGTCTGCGATAATAACTGAAAATGCCTATCCCCAATACTAGTTCATTTGGCCTTTTCTTTCCCAAATAATGCGTGCGAGGTTGTATTGGCTTCGTAAGCGCGCGGATGTGGTAATTTTAGAATAATTCCATAGAGTGAAAGGATGTAACGAGGCCGTTATTTTCGATAATGAATAAAAATACCTCCATTAAATACATGTGTCGTCGTATTGAGTGATGCCCTAATCGTCTTGCCATTTTGCCTGTAAGTTAATGAAACCCGAAGCCTGCAGTTATGGAGGGAATCATAAAGAGCACAGAGACGAAATATCTCAGACATAAAATACTTGGACCACGTGAGGAACGAAGGACAACTTAGAAGAGGAACTGGGCCCGTTTAAGACCTTAAATAATAATAATAATAATAATAGTAATGGTGATTATGTTAATGGGTTCTTGAAAACAGTGTTCAACGTTTGTCTCGATGCCATGTACAATTCAAAGATTTAAGATGAAAACTCTGAATTCTGAAGCCTACAATTAAGAATAACACATTTCTGGAAACGATGGCTACCTTTGATACTAAATGATAATAAGTGACACTGCAGTCTGTGAGTAGAAATCACACATATTATCGTTCACTAGCAAGTTAATATTGTCATTCTTCGTTGAAAAGTGACAATTTAATAAAGCCATTGTGCAGTTAGCACGGCGCTTGTGGTAAAAGTGAAATGCATTAAACGTGTGAATATATCGAGACTCATCTAGCGAACATATAATTTTTAATACACAGGAGCTGGAGCTGTTTTTTAGGGAAAAAGTTGATTTTTAGCATTACGTCACCGATATGCACCGATACGATTGCTAAATTAAATTATTCTAAACTCTTTTTCAGGAGACAGTTCACAATAGGTTGTAATTAAGGCGTAGAATTTCCGTTAAACCAACAGAAATAACTGATTTTCATGTTAACATTTTTTCTTTAATTACCAAGGCATTTCCCAAAGTAAACTAAGAAACGTGATGCTGATTCTATATTATCTATAGACTCAGAAATCTGAAACCGATTTTTTATATATCACTTTTTTATATATCGCTTTGTCCACGGTTTTGGATATGGTGCGCTTTGCTTGAAGTGTTATCAGGAATATAAAAACCTAACGCGTATTGCGCGTTTAAAAAAAGGTGACATCTTTCTTTACCACTGGTGTGTTTAAACTACAAAGGCCTTTGAAGAAATTTCATTATTCATCATTGTACAACAGAATCTTAGTTCGACGCCGCACTTAACGTGTTGCATACCTTACATGACCATTTTTCTCACCTACCTTTTTTCCAAACTCTTCCTGCGTGTGTTTTCCGTCCGATGTGGTTCGGAACCTGGCTGCCCAATGGACCTGAAACGATATTCCAAACTATCTGTGATTTCCATATCACATAAGTTAATCAAACTTGTCACAAATATCGTCACTAAATCTACGATCTAAAGACTTACCCCCCCCCCCACACACACACACACACACACGCACACACGCGCGTGCGCGCATGCAATATTGTTTTGTACGAGAGTGAAACGGGGCGTTACCTGAAACCGATCCACCTTGTATCTGCCTTTTTGTTTAACCTATAGAGCCACACCGTACCGAGTTGACTCAAAGCAGTGATCTGATCACTCAGCTGCTTAACGAGAAAGCACAGCGGCTGCGATTCCTGTCACCTGTGATATGGTTTATATATATACGCTTCCTCTCCAGGTAATAATTCGACGACTTATTGTTTGACGTATTCGCTCTGGTTAATTAACTGTATTGTCGCATGTGAGATTGTTTTTCTTGCATTGACAGAAAGAAAAACGTATTTTGAGGTGAGACTGTTTTCGGCTGACGAAGTGAAAAACATGCTATTTGTTCCAATCACATTTTTTAATTCCTGGAAAGTTTAGATGAGAATTACTTTGCATGGGTTTTTTTACGTCATAGGTTACAGAGGGCTACTTGTGGGAGAGAGAGAGAGAGAGAGAGAGAGAGAGAGAGAGAGAGAGAGAGAGGGGGGTATTTCAGTTTTTAAAAAGTCACGGTCTAACCCCCTTCCTGAAGTTATATGATGGGACAAAATAGGTGTAATTTATTTATAATTTTACCCCTTTCCGATCCCCCTGTACATACACCTGAAGTTAACGATATTCACAGATTTAGCGTTTTTGGACGCTTGTTTCGCGTTTCGGTAGAGCATGTCTTGTTGTGAGTAATTAAAATGTTCGCAGAGGATAATATACTATTTGCAGTATGAGGAAGCTGTCATCCTGTCGACATCATTGTGCTGCGCAAGGGAAATGTCAACCTCAAAACTATAACGGTGACACTTACTGAAAATTTCATTACACCATTCAAACACAATAGGCCTAATTTACGATATTTCTATGCATTATTATTATTATTATTATTATTATTATTTAGATATATAAAACTGAAACCACTCATTCCGTTAAATTCTCTTACCTTACAATAATAGGAAAGTCTTGACCACCTCCAGATCCATTTTGGTCCAGATTTTGGCTTCTCTTTCGCTCGTTATCCAACTTTCGGAGATAATTCTCCGTGGCATCTTTGCGCGCTAAGATGGCCGCCAAGAGATCGGGACGAAAAGCGGGGACGGTGACAGCGGGGATGGACGCCGCCGGGGCCGGCAGGTACCCACGAGCCGTCTTGTTCATGTTTTCTTTGCTGAAACAATGATGACGATAGCATTAAAGTCTTTTCATTATAAAAGAAAACCATAATAGAAAAAAGAGGACATGAAACAATTCTGTGCGTAAAGTCACAGTCGCTTATTTTGAACTTTGGGGAGGGAGGGTCCATCTTGTGTTCTGGTACATCTCTCTCTCTCTCTCTCTCTCTCTCTGCGTGAATCAGGCTAATAATCGATCGCCATGCTTGAATTCAGATTCATTCCATTAATGTACTGCTTGAGGCACTCCATTCATCTGAAACAGCATCTGATTTCTCTTGACGCGGTCAATTGTCACAAACTTGAAAACCACCTGCCTAAAATAACAAGACCACTGGTTAAGTAATGCTACCCTTTAGGCCTACGTGCCGAACTGCATAGCTCTGCGTTCTGGTAAAAAAAATGTCAGTCAACTCGTTCCACGTGTTTGTTCTGTCATGTATATTTTAAAGCAATTTACTTTATATTAGGCCGTTAAGTCGTTGTAAGTTTTCTGATAGATTTTAAATTTAAAATGGCAGTTTTAGATGCTTATTTATTTTCCCACATGATGGACAAACCGTGCTCGTGCGTGATATTTTACTTTACGTTCATTGTATAAAGCACCGAATCTTATAGCCGATATCAGACCCCGAGATCAAAGGTAGAGCATATTATTGAATTAAGTCATTTCCAAAATGTAAACTTGGATTTATGATCCCATGGCTCCATAAAAATTACCTCTGTTATCAGAACTGCCTTTATCTCATGTTTGAGCACCAAACTTAATATTATTACATTTATGTGGACTTTTTTGAGGTCTATTTGCCAATCAGCCTTTTTTTCTCAAAAAAGCAAACATCCCTAACAAATGAATTTCTTTACTGACCTTATCAGCACTGCTTGTTGTATCCATATTTTATATTTGGGCATCAGTGCTTATATCTGGCCATGACAACAAGTTATCAGATTGACTTATGTATGCAGCCGGGTTAGAGATGTAAACTAATAATAGGCGTAACCCGAAACTTTACGGTGAGGTTATGTCTAATAACTGAGGCAGCCTTTTTTAGCTTTCAAACCGCTAGACAAAATCGTTCGTGATTAATTCTTTAGGAGGTAACCGCTTGCAATCCCCTAGTGCGTGGTGTCCGTGTAATCCCGACCACCGCTGGCCGCATGAGTCGGGAATTATTACAGAGGGTTTCAGAGGGGAGCAAACAAGCTAGTGGAAGCGTTAACTAAATCATCTACGTCGTTATGTTCTTTAAAAAACACTTTGAAAAGGGAACTTATTCATACGGGGGAATCATTATAGTGCAATGTTATTTGATGTAAGTTTGGGGTCAGATGTGTTTTTCGAGTTGAAGGGCATGTTTTTATACGTTTAGGGGAGGGGAAAGGGCAAGGGGGCCATATTTGAGGAAGGGAAAGTGATTTCCATTTTAAGCGGAGTGTAATAATCTGATGTAATACGGACCCAGACCTCATTACCATCGCTTTTACGGTCACTGCTATTAGACTAAGAGATGGATTCTTGTGTGGGGAATGGTAGAAAACTTTTAAAGAAAAAATTCGGGAATATTATTTTCAGAATGCGGAGAAACAGACCGTGGAAATGTAAATTGCTAGGTTTTTGTGTTGAATTTGGTAAAAACAGTCCTGTACAAGCTCACCACATCAAAAGTCGATAGTTATTACCAACAGAGGGGATAATGCTTACATATTCCACTTGGCCTAGCTAAATATTTTTACGCTTACCTACGTCAGTCTGTATAGATTTCTTGTGGAGTTTAACATTCGGTTTCTGTTGAGAGAGGCTTGGTTCGTAACAGACGATCAGTAAGTGAAAAAAATGTACAAACAAAAATGTCTAAACAGGATTCGCAACAGGACGTACAATGTAATCTTACAGCAATCGATTTTCTTTGTTAGTATACTATTTTGGCATCTTAGAAACTTGAATCTAAAACAATCAGACACAAAGACTACTCACAGGGGTGGGGGTGGGGTGGGGGGAGGTACTGATCAATCCACTTACCCAGTCCAACCTAAACACACACGTCCCCCCCTTCTCTCACACGTCGAATCTTGTTCTATGGCTCACCTCTTTAGTCTCAGATGCACTATAGTAACCCAGATAAGGGACACCAGTCCCCTCTATGGTCCCTGGCGACTCCTAATACATTCAAAATCATAACCTCTATGTCCCAGCGTCATGGTTTAGTGTTCACTATTTCTCGAACTATCTGTTCTGTAACGACTTCTCTTGATCTGTCAGCGATCTGTATCCAAGCCTTTTTGTCAACTGAGCGTTTAGGGAAAAATGGCAGCTAAATCCACAAGCCCAAATCAACAACTGTCCGCGTGTTATTTTACTGTCGGTCCATTGTGCTTGGGCTATTCTCCCCACTTCCACTCGTGTGCTTCGTTGTAAGCTCTTTTGTCAAAACTCTCCGGTCCCATATACTAAGCTTTTCATCGAATGGGTGGTTTCTATAATCTATTTAATACACTACTAATGAACAGTGAGAGGCTTTTGCCTGCTTTGAGGGTTATTAAGTTTGTGCAGCATGAATGGGCTCCTGTCAAAATCCAAATGGTTAGTGTTGACGTTGTTCCGCGAATTATATGTGCGTAACACTTACCGAGACTTCAAACTTTTAATAATGTTTGGATTTGAAGAGAACAAAACAAAAACCTCTTTCTTTCATCTCGTATTTTTTCTCAACAATAATATTTTTAAGTAGAGTAAAATTTCTCAATCCATCTTAATATGAACACAATGTAAATTTGCCTGCGTAAAATAAATCACTCCTTTCTAAATCATACTCTTATATATAAGAGGATTCGTGTTCTCGCGAATTAATCTTGCCTCGGGACGTTCAAAGGTGAACAAAAACAAGTGACCTTTTATTGCAGATTTGTAGGAAGGGAAAAGCTTTTTTCGATTCCCTTTCCCAATCTTAATCTTTTGAAAGGGTAATAATCTCATAGATAACGTTTTTCTCAGGCATAAGATATTTTTATACCTTTGTGAAAGTAAATCCTCCCTTGTTTGCGTTCTCTGATTAAGAAGTTATGTGCGTGTATATCGAAGTGTTAAGAACACTAATAAAACTTTTTAAACATTCAACAAATTCCGCTTTAACGGTAATTGCCTTCATGCCAACATGTTTACATGGTTACATCAACTTGTTATGGGGACCTTTTCTCTCTAATAGAGACGTCATCAATCACAGTTAGGAGATGTTTTTTTTTTTTCAGTGGCTGTTTTAATAATCTTTCCATTCTACTCTTGGTTACTCGATCCTGGGGAGTTTAGTACGTTATAAAATTTGCTAAATATATAATTAAATTTCTAGCCATGCTACTAACATTAAACACGTATTCACCTTAGTAAAAAATCTGCACGAGGGAAAGCAATCAACTTGTTCTTTTTCTTTTTCAAAAAAGTTTATATTTATTAAATCACCTATTTGGCTTATTCCACTGCAATAAACCACACTACCGTAGCTTACCTTATCTTAAATTTTTTATAATTTTTTTCCAACGATATTCAATCGTGATACAACAAATGGATGATAATAATTAACTAATACACGTCTTACGAGACTTCCACTTCCAACCACACAGATTTTCTTGCCGGCGAAAAGCCGATGGATTGGCGAAAAGATAGTGGGTGCCATTTTATAAGTGAAAATTACCTGCAAAGCCTACAAGTTAATATATAGAATATTTGTCAATCTGAATAAGAATTATTCTTTTGCCTTTAGATGCATATATCAAATAGAGTGCGTGGGTAACGTAGTTAAGTCTCATACTTATCCCATGTGATCGCAGTCCTCTTAATCTCGTCTTTTACAGGAAATACTACAGCGTCACTATGGTAACTGAACCAACACAATGACTGTTAGACCTTATTTTAGCACAAAATTAATAAGTTTTCATCACTAAGGGATGTCATATCCAAAACTGGAAACAGGATTATGATCCATACATCCGCATTTGAGTTCTAAGTTTCTTTTTTTTAGTCACACCTTCGTAATAAAAAATTAGCACTGGTGAATTTCAGTAGTAATGACAGAAGTAAAAAAAATTAAGAGCTCGAAAAGAGCTTAGTTTAATTAAAAGACTTCGGTAAGATATACGTTAGTGGTTCATGGAAAATGGCTGACATATTCATGTTTTTAATGGCACATTCAGTATAGGGCTAACGTTAATTGTATGCCTTTAAATATATCATTAGTCTATATAGTGTTCTTTCTAGGTGTTATACCTGTATATAGAATTGAATCCTATGCTATATACTCAAGAGTAAACTAAGGGCGCATTCCCATAGATTTTAGATCGATCTATCCCCGTGGGGAGTCTCACTAGATTACTGTCAGATAATCCGGCTTAAATGTCCGTCCCGCCTACTACAAGCTGTAAGGGGGTAATTAACTTTCTTTCCCGCTCGGCTGATAGCTATTTAGCGTGAACCCCCAGGGAGTTAGGTCGATCTAGTTGGATCGATCTAATCTCTGGGAATGGGGTCTAATATTGCACAATTAAAAAACCCTCCCATCAAGCACCTTATACTTCATGTGGCGTTATCGTCGTAATGTGCCGTAACTCTTTGGTCCCCCCTCCCCTGCCACGCACACGCACACACTTACACACGCACACACGCACACCACCACCACCACCACCACCAAAACATCGGCAACTTGCATTGGCTATTTGAGTGTGAGATACAGTTAAGATTAACTTTTCAAAGGTGGCTAAAAATCTGGGTTTTAGTCCTTCATGTGACGGTTCGTGTGTCACAGATCAATCGCATCAATCGCGTGACATATTATCAAACATATCTGACAGTCACTCACCTGTTAACAGAATTTGCAGGAACGATAATTTTCGAGAACGAAAATAGGTACTTTTTCATTTTTAACATAACGCTGCAGCGCTGACCAGAGCTCCTTGATCTTTCTAATCGCTATGTCATACTTTAATCTACTAAACCCGAATTTACCTCAGGTCGATGTGAAATTTATTACACAACATCAACCACTACAAAAACACGATGCGCGTAATAATAAACAATAACAATAAACAACCAAGAAAACAATTAATTCTTACCTCCCACTGTTGGTCCAGCTGTACTAGTTGAGCAAGTGCGGGGCTTAATGAAACAATAGTATTAAAGAGCGGGCACCTGCTCTATCTAACCCGCTGCGACACGGACCTGTCAAGTGACCCGGCATGTCAACACGGTGATTCGTGCATGGAGGAAAGTTTACATTTGGTGAAATATGTGCTGCACTTCTCAATTTTTAAAGGGCCAACAACTGCACTGTGATTGACATGAGTTTCTTGCGAGGAGACCATTCCACCTGGTACTTGAAAAGCACTTGAAGAAAGCGGATAGCCAAGGCTGTTCAATTTTCATTATTATTATTAGTAATTCGAAGACAAACAGACTTCACCAATTGACTAATTAATCAATTAATTGATGGATCATCACCAAATCCTGATCGTTCATTACTTGCCCCACCCCCCGACAGTTTCAAAAGTTTGTCGCCCTACCCCCCCCCCCACAGCACCCCACCACCCTGTTGCTGTCAATTGACCAAAAGGTGCCGAAAAAATCGCTTCGAAACTGCATCAGCTGAACCTATTCTCACAAACACGACATTTATTTTGTTATCACCTTCGAAGGAAAACGCGTAAACACATGTTCACGCATTTTTGTCTTTTGAGGTCGAGTATCGTACAGTTGCAGGACCAGCTAGGTCTTCGAGGACCGCCTCGACAGATACGTTCTTATTTCACGGTGATTTAATAGCTATCATAATAAGGTATTTTAAAATATGATATGATATATAAATAATTAAATAAAGAAACATAAAAATGAATAGCAAAATTTCTTATTTGTTTTTTTTTTAAATCCTAATTTGGTTATTTTTCCTCCTTATTACACGGGGTTTGACGATGATAAGGAGGGTCATAATGAGGGATTTTAAGATATGATAAATAAATAGATGAATGAAAAAATAAAATAAGTGAATAGCAAAAAAAATAACTTATTTGGTTATTTTACCTGTGCACACCTCCCACGGTATTTTCAAGCGCAAAATGCAATAAACTGAATCGTAAACGGTTCGAGTGTACTTATGACGCACCTGCTCCGCTCATTGCACGTATGAAATCGACCGTGTTTCCTCTGGCACTATACTATCGTCTGGCGACCCGTTATAACTAGGGGACTATATTAGCATAGCAACAAGTCTCAAAACTACTTCAACTAAGACCAAGTAAATGCATTAAAAGATGTGAAGATCAGCAACATTACCACATACCGAAAATGAGCCCAAATCACTGGCCAATATTCCAGCAGCAGGAGACGGTGTTTATATGATCTAACCTCATACCTGTGTAGCCCGGTACTCTAGATCTTTGAAATAATAATAGTACGGAGAGGGGGAAAAATCGATCCTTTGGTCTCTAATACGGCTTGGTTACTTCTTTTTATTGTTTTGTTTGCGATACAGACGCGGGGAACTGACTATAAATGCCACCCATCGATTTTCCTCTTTATCATTCTTGTCCCTAGAGTTAAATGCTTTCAGGGACTGATGTAATTGATTAAATCAATGAGTGCTTTGCAGGTCAACTATTATTTCGTGTGTGTGGAACAACTGGAAACGGAAAAGCTAAAAACATGAAATGTAAGCGAAGGGTGTGGGCGTTCTAATTGTTAAATCTGATGTGCTTAACTTCACATTTGTAAAACTCTTGTTCTTACCTATGCGACATGACAGCTCCACCCTTCGGCTGAGGCCTTTGATCACGTGACAGAGCTCCTCGATATGAGCTCCGGAATTTAAAATCGTACCACAGTACTCTCTTGGGCGGATCCAGAGATATTTTCTGACAGCCCTCCAAATTGTCTTTGTTGATCCATCCTCCATTTTGACCGTCTTCCGACAGGAAAAAATAGATAGCTCTCAATTTAAACTTTAAAATCTGACCGTCTTCTGGAAGACCCAGAAGACGGTTTCAATCCGCCCCTCTGCTCTCCGACCACAGGATCCGCTAGAAGTATGTTACAAAAGTTATTGTCCGTATACTTTAATTTTGTATACAATTTTAGAGACCCCTGATGTCAGAGGGTAACGCAAATTGAGGGTAGTGGTGGGGGTGCAGACACTGGCCTCATAAGTACTGTAAAAAACATTAACTATTATCTTTCCTATCATCTTTACGGAAGAGTGAATGAAAAATCTTCTTCACTATGCAAATCATTTTTCTTGGTTTTTTCACAATCATTGCAGACGGTATCAATCCTAATGTAAAAGAACTGTGTATAATGAGTTGTAACCACAAACATATTAAGTTCCCGTATCTCAATCGATTAAATTTGTTTTGCAGCGTGGAAAGGTATTGAATTTAAATGCCAGCTAACGATTATTGTTTCTAAGACTGGGTCCCCATCCCTAGACCCCATTCCCATACCTACATCGATCTAGCGGGATCGGTCCATCTCCGAGGGGATTCTCGCTTTTAAAATCGCTTTCAGCTTAACGCTGAAAGCGTCTTAAGCGGCTTAAACGTCTGGCACGCTTACTGAAGCTGCTAGAGATAGTTAATTACCTCCAGATTCAATAGGCGCTTAAGTACCTCCAGATTCATCTAAGCCGCTTAAGTTAATTGCAATTAATGGAATGGTCTTTTTGATCAAGTGACAGAGCTCCTCCATATGAGCTCCGGAATTTAAAGCCGTTTCACAGTACTCTCTGACCACAGGGCCCACTATAAGTCTGTTACAAAAATGTTAAAAGTGTGATTTTGTATCAGTATTTTAGGGGGCCCTGGTATCAGAGGGCAGTATCAGAGAAGGAGAAGTTTCAGTCCCTGGTCTCATACATGTAACTACATGTAAAAGCACGTTCAATCTCTTTAGAAATTATTATCTTTCTTATCATCTTTGCAAGAGAGAGAGTGAAAAATAAAATCTTCTTCACTATGTAAGCCTTTTCTTTAAGTTTTGTCACAATGAATGCAGACAGTATCAATCTTAATGTAAAAGAAGAACTGCATATAATGATTTGTAACCACAAACATATTAAGTTTCCGTATCTTAATCGATTAAATTCGTTTTGCGGCGTGAAAAGGTAATGAGTGTAAATGCCAACCAACGACTATTGTTTCTAATAGCGCTGCTGTGCACGGAGAATTTTCTGTGATTTTCGATATATTCGTACAGCGTGTTAAGCAAGGGCAAACTCAGTACCGGGTAATTGTTGTTAAGAATATGACATCCCCTACGAAGTGGGGCAGCGTTCTTTGAAATTTAAGTCATTTTCAGAATGAAAAAAGAAATATTGAGGTATGAATCTGTGTTTTCTGGACTCGCCGCCTCACATGATTTACGTTTTCAGTTCTTGAAATATACGAAACTTAAAGTAACAAAGTAAAGTATTTTAGACAAACGATAGGTACATGTACATAAACCATCTCTAGTTGAACTCATCTGAGGACAAGTAATACTTTTTGATTATATATTAACGGATAAATGCCATGAAAAAAATGTCACCCTCTGACGAATCATCTTAACACAGTTTTAAATCTCGATGATCTCGGAAGACAGTGCGAGAATTGAGCTCGACGGGACGGAATTTGAAACAAACAAGCAAACAAAAAAGGCTTTTCGCGGGAAAAATCCTTCACTGTGAACCTTTAATCACAATTATTCTATTATTATCGTTGTTATAATGGAGGAACCCCACTGTGTGTATATAAGGGATCATTCCCATAGACACCATCTGGATACGTAGGTCGATCCAACTCTGCAGGGACTCTCGCTGAGTGCAATCAGCTTAATTGAATGACACCCGTACAATTGTTTCCAATGTACCCGTATAATCACCAGTTTTTATGTATTCTACTCAACGCCAGGGGGCGTGCCATTCAGTGCAGCTGAGTGCCCTCAGCAAGAGTCCCCACAGAGTTAGCACCTTAAATGCAACAGTGTTTGAATAAAACTTATGACAAAACATGCGACAGAACGTAATGCATTTCTAAACTTTTTTATCATAAGCACAGGGAGGATATAGCCTGTCTTGAGAAAAACTACAAATCTTAAATGAAAGCTAATCATAGCTCTTTCAAAAAAATTAAGATTTCAAATTCTAGTGATTTATGTCCTTGTATCAAAGAGCTTGTATACCGAAGCTACTAAGGAAGCATTCAAATTCAAGTTATCGTACCAGCAGGCTCAATCCAGCTCTGCGGGGATTCTCGCTAAATAGTGCAGTAAATGTAAACAGCTTAATTGTCAGACAAATGTTAACCATCTCTCCGGGGATTCTCGCTAAAATTCAGTCATGTAAACAGCTTAATTGCCAGACAAATGTCAGTCGAGCGCAAACGAAAGCTAATAACCCCCGGACTACTCAAGGTGGCGTGTCAGACGATTAAACTGATTTCACTGAATGCAATTAAGCGATAATCAGCCACAGAGTTCGATCAATCCTGGTTAGTATTGGTAATGACAGATAGATGTCGCGAATTACTACACACGGCAAAGTGAACACCTGTGAACACAGGGTCTTTCAATTATCCAAGAAAAGGAGATCTATGAAAACAGAATTGACTGACAAGGTTAAACAAATAAAGTCTTACTTTACTCATTTCCAATTAAATCTTCACTTTACCTCTTAGCTTTCTAATACCATATTTATATTATTATACCATTATATATTATACAATTAATTATACCATGAAATAGGTAATAAGCCTGCTGTCTTATAAAGTTTATATGCGTATTTCCCTACGAGAAAATATTGGAATTCAATAATGAAATGCCCTTCGATGGACGAATTCTTTTGAGTATGTAGTGACATGCAACTTTATCGGTTAAGGAAATGTTTGTAGTAGCCTCGTAGGTTAGGAGATCTTGCAGGCAGCGGTGGAGGCGGTGGAAGGAGGGCTCCCTTCTCAAGGCTATCATAACGCTGTACATCAGAAGGGGACAGCGAGAGCTTGCCTTTGTACCATGAACCAACCTGCAAATCAATAATACACAATATTCACTATGCGATCCATTATCCTTTTCTCTGGGATTTTAGCATGAAAGTGTTACTGTGTTCCGAAAGTAGATTTTAATAGCATCTGTGCAAAATAGGATGAGATGCAAGTATTAAGAATGAATTGAAAAGTACAGATAACATATATAAGTCCATTTTTATAGATATCATTTCCGCCAAGTCGTCAATTGTATCATCACATGCATCTAACTTACCGTGGCATATCCAAAACTTCCATCCTTGAGCTTCTGGAAGTTAAGAATTTTGTATTCATATCTGAAGTTCAGCACCGGATCATCGACCCCTTCATCGAGGACAAGTCGGACCTCTTTATACAGCTCAGCGACATCTTTAGCATCACCGTTGACCTGGCCTAGGCACCCCTCAAAATCAACCCGCCCACACTTATACAAGTAGAACTTTGCCAACCCGTCGGCGTATGCGTAGACCGCTTTCGCTGTATTAGCCGTAACAGGCATTGGAGGCAATGGTCTGCGCTCGAAGGATTCATCTCCCGTACAAGCGTTAGGGAACTTTCCGCCGAAAGTCAGAGCGCACTGAAAATGCTTCTCCCAGAATTCTGCATACCAAGGGTCATCGGGAAAACTGTCAGGTGTCAGGGTTTTGGTAAAACTGTCAAAGTCAGCATCCAGTACAGCGTCTGGTACCAAAATAAGTGAACCTTTCATGACTTCGTCCAAACCGTCTACGACCATTTTGGGATATTTCCATTGACCCGCGTTTATCCACAGGAGACGGCCGGCAGTGTCCTGGCGCTCTGCTGCAAGAAGTAGTTGACGGCTGTCGTCAGCATTGGCAAAGGTTACCACGTTCGGTGCTCCAGCCTTTACGAGCTTGGCAATAACATCGTCGTAGTCGCTTGCAGACGTCCCGTTGACTGTTAGAAAGGTTCCAATAATGAATGTACGGCGTTCTATGTCATTTTTTAATATCAGGGCCAGATCCAAGCTTGCCTTTTCATTTGATGCGACGATGGACACGTGGGTCCATTGAAGGCGAAATAGAACATTGACCAACAGTGTGGTGGTATCTTTAACAACATGTGGCACACCAATGACGCCGTCAGTTTTGGACCCCTCCTTTACTGGACTTATCTGGATAATAAAACTACATGATAGTGATTTTGCTTTCAGTACTACTAAGTGTTTGATTGCCCGTGTGTGTGTGTGCATTTGTGCGAGAGAGAGAGAGAGAGAGAGAGAGAGAGAGAGAGAGAGCCCAAAACAGTGCAATACGCAGTGAAGCACTCTTCCATTGGACCGAAGGCAGACGGAAATATTGACAAATGATCCGGGGAGGAATATAAATGCAAAATGGCATATAAGGGATAAAAGTACCATTTCATCTCTACATAAACTAGTATAGCAGAGATACGCACCTGCACCAAGTGTTGTTGTTCACGCCTGGCTTCGGAGATGGCGTCCGATTCATTTTTCTCAAATCCAGCAACCATGCCCAATACGCCGGTTCTTACCGGAACCTCAGGAGGCTGGCTGAAATATGGATATTTGGCATCAAATCCGTTGACGACATCACTTGCTACCGTGGGGGACGAACATGTGTTGTACACCACGTACCCCAGCTTTGAACCCTGAAGAATAATGGCAGCCTTTTTATTGATTTGATCTATCGCGTAGTAGAATCCCAACAGACTGTGGTATATTTCGTGGCGTAGCTCGCCGTCACAAGTGTTACCACACGTGTCGAAACCGTAGAGCGGGAAGAGCCCAATCAAGGTGAAGTCTTGAGGTTGAGGATGGAATTGCAGGTCGAGCACGTCTGGAGAGGTGGTCCTGCACGGAGGCTTGCTGCAGGAGGACACAATCGTATCAGCTGATATGTGTTCCAGTAGTAGATTGCCGTTGACCCACTGTCCTACCTATAATATGCATAAACAAAATCACTTTACAATGATGCCTAAAAACGGAAAGTTCACATAGGTGAATTGTTGGCAGAAAACGATACTTTAAATAGCTCAACTGGTGTCGACGGATTTGTTGTTTTCAAATTTTCAGTGAATAATTTGGGGTAGACAAACGCTTTTAATGCCGGTTTTTGGATTCCCATTAAACCCATTCAAAAACTCGACCATGATCGTCTAGAGGCACACTACAAACTGAGTCGTGCCCTAAAAGAAATTCTTGCAGAGCTAATCGCTTTGTGAAGATAAAAAGCTCGATTGCACGCTTCCATTCAAATATAGCCCTTTTTAAAGTCAGATCTAAACCTGTAGTTTAAAATGTAACAAAAAACCCAGAAAAAAATGACACCAATCTATGAATCGTCGTTGCTATATCAATTTAAATGCAAAATGTAATGAAGTCTAAACTCAACTGTACATGCTTTTTTGGTTTGTATTGATGGTGTTTACCACCTGGCCAAAACAACAGCCGGATTTGGTTCACTCTAATAGCGCACCAACAACTATTTTTATTACAATATAATCACACACAATTGAACCACTGGTTTTCAATTAATTAAAAACTTGATATTTTGATATGAAGACTATCCAATATGACTATTTAATGTGTTTTTGTTTTGTTTTCATCGCGTATTTCAGAGAATTAGATATGTTACTTACGTTGATGTAACCGTACTTATTTCTGGACAGTTCTTGGAAAGTGTTTATCTGGTAACTTGGTATGGCATCGTCAAAGCTATCGAACGCCACCTCCAGACCCGATGACCCAGTGAACTCTGAATCCTTAATGTATGTTGTGACTTTGTTTAAGTTCTTAACTGCGTTAACACATAGCTTTGAAGGCGTCATCGGACAGAAATCAGCCATCAGTTGTTCTAGTCCTTTGGCATAAAGACGGACAATGTCGGTTATGAAGGCGACTCTACCTTGGAAAGGTGCGATGTCTTCTGGCGTCAATCGATCATCTTGGCAGGGTTCTTTGAAGGTTCTATCAGCAATGAAACATTCGAATTTTTGTTCCCAAAATTCTCGAAACCAAACATTCCTCGAGTTCTTAAACGGCGATAGAGTTGTTAGATACTTGTTGAACCCATCTACCGGTGCTGAAAAAAAGTCGAGGGTCACTGCTCCCTCGGCCGTTTCCTCAAGTCCAGAGACAATACCTAATTCGGTTCCCCATCCATCTCCGCCGAACCAAGTCTTTCTTGGGAGATCTTTTTCTCTATCTTTGCCAGCCAGAATTGCTCTGGTATGCTCAGCCGTCGTGAACATAATGACAACCTGCACCTGCGCACGAAAACCTGACGAGATGTATCGTATAATGTCACGAATGGCGTTCGAATCCGATGCTATGTCGTCATTCATTTTAACAAGCGTAGAGACGGTGATGCCCTCTTCCTGGGCAAGTTTTAATAACAGGCGACTTCCTTCTAGACCGTAGGCATTGTCACTGTATATCGCGATCACGCTGGTCCATTTACTTGCTTTTAGTATATCAATAAATGCCTCTACTTGGTACTGATCGGAGCCAATCACTCTCAGGAAGTTTGGATATTTCTTCTTATCACTGAGAAGAGGACTTGATGACCGATAGCTTATTTGTGGTACACCGTACACTTCAAGGATGTCCTGTGTGTAGATTGCTGCGTTACTAGAAAGGGCGGTGACGGATCCCAAAACCGGGGCAAACCCATTCTTGCCGGCGCTTTCATCATTCTTCACTAGGAATCTGGATATTTGCCTAAATGTCCTGACTGGACTAAATGCACAGTCGTCTAGCACAGTTGCGCCTAGCTTCACGTCAGGTAGAATGGTCGGATCGTTATTGATTTGGTCAACTGCGTAAAGGAACCCCTCTACCTCAGCAAGAACCCCTATTTCATCGACACTCTTACTGCATTCTCTGCCGTTGCTCCCTTTGGAGTGAGCATTGAAGACACCTAATAATTGGACGTCACCTCCTGGAATCTCAGAGATTCTGAAAATTAAAGGGATAACAGCTCTAAGTATGGGTTTCAAAATTTTACAATGTAAATATATTGTAAACAACACGTAGAAACATTATAAATTACATTTTATCACCAAAGCGGCGGTAATTGCAATTATCCTGAAATATGTGCCTACCATTGGACTTTCATAGATGGCTATATCGTACCTTCCTCCATAATAATCTCCTAAGAGATTATTACAAAAAACACACCTAAAGTAGCCAATTGACTAACTGAATATCGATTATATATATATGCTTGTGACGTTCATGCACCAACACCCAAACTTATGCCTGCTCCAGCAGGACAACACCCAATCTGAGACAGGGACCAGTTTCAGAACAATACTTCGGCCCAAAAGTTGACCTTAACATTTACACCATAATTGCTTTAGATTTTGAACCAAGATAGATCAACAGTGTCCGATTTAATGGAATACTGCAACTCTTAAAAAGAAAAACATGGCTAATGGTTTTGATCAATGCTCACTTTAGTTGACTAGGTTGCTACAAGTACCTCTTGAATAAAATAGACCATGTTTGTGGTCTAAAGATAGAGACAACTTTCAGACCACAGTTCTTTTTGGGAAACCCGTGCCTCGTAAGCAAAACACGCTATAAATCCCCGACTTGGCTCTAGATGTGGTACGTAGTTTTAAGCACTCCCAAAATGACCCAATGGATTCTTGCCACGTCACATTAGCTACGTACCTGTCAACGGTATGTAGGCACTCGTGACAGTTTTCAGTGCACGTGGATGGAATGTGTTTAGCGGTTTCTTTGCCTTTCCTATCATACATTTTGATAGGACTTTTGATTTCCAAGTTTCCACTCTTCCATGTTCCAACCTGAAAGGCATAATGGCATTTGCCGTTGAAAAATAAATTAATTAATCAATAACATTAAATTGAACAAAATGATGAGAAACACTTATTTTACATCATTGAGTAATAATAATAATAATAATAATAATAATAATAATAATAATTCGTTTATTCAGTGTCCTCAATTCAAGTATGTTCAACGAACTACAATGCTAGATAAGAAAAAAGCTAAAAGAACTATACATTACATGTAGTTTATTGACTCTTTTGGACCGGTTTTAAACAGCTGTTAACCTCCACACCATGTGAAATATAATCAATTAATCTACATCATCTAGCGGTCGAATCATACTAAGTGGATGTTATTTTGGATGAAGCGTAAATAAATTAGCTTTTGAAGGGTCCTATAGGATAATAACGAACTCGAAGCAACTCAATGCAAATAGGCCTTATGGCGTATCAGTTAAATAGTGTAAATTATTACATAATTGTCTTTAGGGTGTTGTAAGGGTTTTTGATTATCCAGATATCAAAAATTAGGTTATTCCTGCATTTAATTATTTAATAATGTATCTGCCTCTGTGCTGATTAAAAACACTAAAAATCCTCTCGAAAATATAAAAAAAAGTGTTTATATGCACTTCAAATAGCGTTTATGGTCAACTTAACAGCTTTCTATTTTGAGGTGAGATAGCAATCGTTATGGGGCGTAACTCCATCCCTGAATAGGATCTGATCACGAAAATTAGCAAAGGTGACGACACGTGTACGTGCTTTAATCCCATGTCGTCATTTTGGTTTAAATGATTTTTGTCATGGAGTTACAAGCCCTTAAATACGATGCATTATTGAACAAAGTCTCTATTATGCGTTTTTATCGATAAAATCTTAACTAAAGTTTTAAAAAAGAATCGCTGTCAGAGTTTTGAAGTACTCAGTGATGTCATTAAATGGGTGTAAAAGGGCGTACGTGGGTGCTCAGGTAAAGGAGAAATTTGACAAACAGATTTTGCCCCAATTTTTAACCCCCAAATCGCAATTATGACGTCATCGGTAAGATGGCATATGTGTAACGCTAAGGAAATATTCAGTGTACACTGAAGATTTATCTATTAGCCTACAAGTGTATAAGTTAGCAAATATAAGGCGTTTTTTTTTTTTTTTTTTTTTTTTTGGCTAACCCTGACAGTTCTTGACAGTACCGTGATAAAGTAAATGTATTATTTTAATCACATCACCTCTTTAATATCCAATGATTTGCCCGTCAGCTGGATATTGTACACACTGTACATTGGGAAGCGCGCCTCACCAGTTTCTGTGAACGCCATGATTCTTCCGTCTAGCTGGGTAAACTCTACAGCTCGCAGGTAAACCATGAAATCACTGGCTGGTAGGTTTACAAGGGCGTGGCAAAGTCCAGGTCCGGTACATAAGTCTTTGTGGGCGTTTCTCAAGCCGTGCGCGTACGTGTACACTGCTGCAATAGTCTCGGCGACGAAGTCGTCTGCGCCAATTTGTGGTTTTAACGTGTCGCAGTACGTATAATGCGAACATTTGTATTGCTGAAATATTTTATAAAAACCATTAAAACAATCCACTGTCACCACGTGCACTGAAGCATAAGTATTTCGAGCAACCTAACCCCGGTTTCACAAAAAAAGGTAAGGTTCCCTGATTAGAACTTAATTACCAACGTTACATGGTCACATGGGCACATCTTACCCTATCAATAACAGTGTTACAGCGCTCTCATGGAAACCCTAGTCAACTAAGCCAGGGAAGGAGAAATAAACATATAAAGTGTTAAGATGTGTCATACCAGCATGTATGAAGAGTACTTAAAGGAAAAAACACTGTTTGGTTCTATTTCAAAACTTCATTGTTAGTAAATTGATAGCGTATGCAGTTCATGCAAATATCAACGTCAGAACTGAAGCATAGGTAGATTTAATTTGATCTGAATTACAATAATCTTAATATACGTCAAGATGAATTATACATCGGGATACATTACAACTAACCATATAGTGTGTATTAAACTTATATATCAGTCTGTGATGACCGTAATGTTCACAAGTATGAAACCATTCATCATGTAAAACTATACGAACATTTTTCATACCTGTGCATAATATTTGCTAAAGAATGGGTTGTCGTCGTTGTTTTCTGGGGTCAAAGATACAAAATATTTCTTGAATTCGTCGATAGTAGGCGAGTACGTCTTTGGGAATATCAACCCTTTGATCACATTGCTCAAGTATTGGTAGGTTTCGTCGTAGAAAAACGGAAGTGCCATCACCCATTGCAAATCTGCCGCCTCTGGAACGATTGGTATGGCTGCGTCGACTGCCGTGAAAAAGTCGCGGACAACTTTAGGCGTGGCCACCACTATCACACCAGGTGCACCTGAATGAAAATATTTTATAAATAAACCACCAAGTTCTGTCAGTAGAAATGCAAGTCAGGGTTAGTCAATGAAGAAACTCATCCTAAGCAGGGGAAAAGGAAGAAAAATGGCACATCACGTTATGTTCAAGTGTCATGAATCAGAGAGTAAATGCATGCGAGAAAGTCACGGTACACTTAAAATTGTTGAATTTAATTGTTTCAAAATTTCGCCAAAATCAACATCACAATATATTGTCAAGGTAACGTCAACCAAGTAGAGGTTTAGAGCAAGTACTGCGTTTTTTAGATTCCTCTTATGTGTGGTTCATACATATCACTAATATAAATTGCCGTATCTTTAGAATAGTCACCTTTTTTGGAAGCCTCTGTAAAGTCCTTCACGATGGACAGGTAGTCCGGCTTTGGGTCGTTGTCGGCTACAGATTTTATCTTCATCACACAAATGTTAGCATCTGATGGATCCGCCTGGCGTAGAATCTCTTCTTTCACTCCCTTGCTGTACGAGTCACTCCCAACTAATATTGACACGTGCGTCCAGCCAAGTTTTCTCAAGATGGACATTACGACCTGGCGGTGATAAAGGCTAAAGTTTACACAAAGATTTGGCCTTCCTTAGTTCGGACATGTACGATACAGTGCATTTATTGACACAAGTAAATGGCCTTATCATTAATCTTGTAGTTTGAACTCAGCAGTATATATATATATATATATATATATATATATATATATATATATATATATATATATATATAAGCCTATATCTTTGAAGACCCCCCCTTTTACCTAGCCGCTTCCCATCACCGAACCCTCTTCATTACCTTGACATAAGAGGAAACGTTAGAAGCCGTCCTTTGAAAAAGTGGATAGAGCTCCTTGTCTCCCAGAGCGTTGCTGTGAGAGCCATACGATATCAAGGGCTTCTTGACGCTAGTCAGAAACGAAGCCATTTCCTGTGTCACGTCACTATGTAGACTGCCGATCAAACCTTAAATTATTTGCCAATGTGAAAAGAGGGCACAGAATAGCAATCATAAACATGCTCGACATACCCTTGTTAGTACTTCATTTATCTTTTTAACCTCTGTAGGAGCTTAGTTCATCTTTTTTTAAATATATTTTAAACTTTCCTTTCCTGGTTAATACACGAACCAGCAACTAACTTTATTTTCTGATTGGAGCTAACATAATTTTTATGTTGTGTGATGACATTTCATTTGTTCGCATATCCTGCAACTTAAATTTGAGAAAGAATTCATATTTAATAAATACACCTTTGGTACCCTTAAAGAGTTTGTCAAAGTTCAAAATAGCACCCAGCTGGCGTGCTTTTGTTAATCTCATCTACCTCTGGTCGTGTTTGGTAGACTTTTATGTATCAGAGGAAATTCATATAATTACTTGTATTTGACGAAACGAATGCTTGTTTATCCCTTTTGTGTATGATGCACTTTGACTAGGCACTTACCTGGATAGGACACATTTGCCGGGCAGATGTCCCCTGACTCGTCTGTAAATTTTTCTCTCTCAGCCAGAAAATTTACCAATCTCTTCACTCCAACATTGGGTGTCCCACAGTCATCGTAAGTTCGAATGCCTAAAACACATGAAAGGATTTGTTGTACCCTTTTTTCAAATTTTCAGAAAGCGCCAAGCCAGCAAATAATTTTCTCAGCGTAGAACCAAATTTAAGCATTAAAAAATAAATGGTACCTAACCAAAACTCGACTTTTTTTTCGAATTTTAAAAGAGCTTGAAATTCTGTCAACATCTGAATCGAGAGAGAGAGGCAAAATAGAATAAAAACATGGATTTACCAAAGGTGACTCCGGGCAGAAATTTGTCAGCATTCAATTTCTTAACGGCAAAATGTGCCGCTTCCTGCCTGAGGATTCCATCGGGGTTTATTACGTCAGAGCACCCGGCAGAACCTCCCCGATGAACGTTGAATGTGGCACCAAGCTGGACATCCGCTTCGGTATTAACGCTTCCAAAACGGGTTTTCTCACAATCCTGGCCTAAACCAAGATGCACGGACAGAAAACACAAGCAAACTAGAAGCATATTTACCACGGTCATTTTCGTACCATAGCAGCGAAAAAATGTACTCTTTAAGATGCAAAAAGTTCGGTGAATTACATGTACGACCAAATAAGTTTGGTCGACAGAGGAAAAACGTTTTAGGTAAAACACCCAAACAGTTTCTAAAGAGTGATTTTTTTGTCGCTGGTTTGGTTTAAAAGCAGCAAAGTGTCATTAATCACTTTTCGAACATATGCAAATTGTATGAACTAGTGGCAATGACAATGAACTAATCAGACTTTCTCGTTACTGATTTGACCAAAATAATGTGACCGTTGTTTGACCAATCAAGGAGTTGTATAAGCAACACCCTTGACCAATCAAGTTCATCGCGTCTGGGTTTAAGTTGTTTTGGTGGCCTTGGCTTAACCATCGCAGTCTAATTGGTCGGAAATATTGCACTGACCAAACCTCCTTTATCTCGGTGGAAAATACAGGCTTGCCGCCATCGGTCATCGGAGAGCAGGCCAATCCTGCGGTGCACGTGTTGTAAGCTGTCCTAAGCAATATCTAATTCCAAATGAACTAAACAAACAACTACTCTGATACAAGTTTTGGATTGTAGAACTAAACGGCAAAGTGTGAAAACGCCTAACAGAAGACATTCCAATCGCTAGTTTTCAACAAAAAAGAACACATTTCAGTAATCAATAACTTTTTGCCAAAATAATCCGATCATACTTTATTTTCGAAATAACTGAGTGCCTTATTATCATACACGCCACTCAGTTAATTTTAAGTAAAACCGAATGGTTTTCAGCAGTTACTGGTTAAACAATACATGTGATGGACGGCGACGAAGCGGGCTGTCACAGTTATTAGAATATGCAAAAATGCATGCAATGTCTGTACATGTATAATAGAAATGATGCGTTATTTATTCGGATTATCAAGTATAAACATTGACATAAAATATGAGAAACCACATGCAAGCGCAATACAAAACAACGATACAAATATTTTTCATGCTGGAACACATCTAGAATACAACAAAGTTAATGATCAGTTCATCAGAGTGCGTCAATTACTGACCACTAGACACAAGACATCCATATGTATACATACAACAATAAACTTACTACTCACTTAAAAAAGTATTTTCTTATCTGGATAATTTCTGGCGTAACTATTCTTTAAACTGCGGCCTTAATGCCAAAAATACATTTAAATCACTACAAATCCTTCCTATAGTAATTAATGCTAATGGCCTACCGATATACTGGCCAAGGAAGGGCGTGAACGAGTGTAAAGCTCAATCTAAGTTGTCATCTCTTATAACAACAAGCTCATTGTCGTAGATATATCTCGTTGAACCAAAGTACATCTAAAAATCGAACAGAAAAGTACGCGCTTCATGAAAGACACGATTATATTTTTTTCATGTTAAAATACATTGAAAAAAGACAATGGTCATAATCAGTTTGACTGCACCAGACTGTGACTAATACTGGTCACGGTAAACATGCAGTCACGCTATCACTTCGATAATCCATAAATATAAAAATTAATTGAATAACGACCTTATTACAGATGTGTTGCTGCTAAAAAAGAATGAAAAAATGACAGGTAGGGATGCAATTAAGAACTTTGCCTACGTGTTTATTCCCATAAATGCGAACTGAGCACCAGCAATTCTGCATGGTGGATTCAAAGTATTGAGTCAGCAAAATTTTTTGTTTCATCGTCAAACGCAGTTTGAATAAGAAAAGAACCTGAAAAATGAACCTTAACAATATTTGCCATATTCCATAGGCATACATTTTAAATGTAAAATGTACCATTTATTTCATAACATTTGTTTTAATTTACTATATGCAAACGGATAAATGTCGTACAAGGGGGACCAGTTATTATTTAAGTTGGAGAGGGAGGAGGGAGGAGAAAATGGGGGTGGGGACCTGATATTTTTAAACAAAAATTAGGGTAGTCTCGAAATTTGAAAATAATAGATAACAGGAGTCTTGAGAAAATTAATTTTTGGTTATATATATATATATATATATATATATATATGAATTCAGATTTTCTTCATCTTTCAATGTAGAAATTCTTACATTTCTATTGAAATTTGCAATAAAGTGTTGGTTACACCTTCTCATCATGCGTAATATTAAATTAAGCACCATAAGGTATGGGATATTTGACATCCCACAAAGTATCATATCCCAATAGAATACATGCATATATAAAATATTAACAATTTGTGTCTGATTAAATTTCATTATATCTTTTCGACTTTCCTTTCATACAGGGTTGCCAGTTAGTTGGAAAAATAAAAATTCCCTGACTTTTCACCAAATCCTGATTTTTACTGACCAATACCACCTAATATTTCGGCCTCCACCTTCCCTACAACGTCCAATCCGCCAATAACTGTTTAATTTTTTTCATCAAACCAATTTTATTATGATTTACTAGATAACAAATATGAAAATATTAAAATTTAACATAGATGATGGTTAAAACCTTACTCATGGTTTTGGTCAGCAAGTGTATGNCTTCTACCTCAGCAAGAACCCCTATTTCATCGACACTCTTACTGCAGTCTCTGCCGTTGCTCCCTTTGGAGTGAGCATTGAAGACACCTAATAATTGGACGTCACCTCCTGGAATCTCAGAGATTCTGAAAATTAAAGGGATAACAGCTCTAAGTATGGGTTTCAATATTGACCTTAACATTTACACCAAAATTGCTTTAGATTTTGAACCAAGATAGATCAACAGTGTCCGATTAAATGGAATACTGCAACTCTTTTAAAAAAGAAAAACATGGCTAATGGTTTTGATCAATGCTCACTTAAGTTGACTAGGTTGCTACAAGTACCTCTTGAATAAAATAGACCATGTTTGTGGTCTAAAGATAGAGACAACTTTCAGACCACAGTTCTTTTTGGGAAACCCGTGCCTCGTAAGCGAAACACGCTATAAATCCCCGACTTGGCTCTAGATGTGGTGCGTAGTTTTAAGCACCCCCAAAATGACCCAATGGATTCTTGCCACGTCACATTAGCTACGTACCTGTCAACAGTATGTAGGCACTCATGACAGTTTTCAGTGCACGTGGATGGAATGTGTTTAGCGGTTTCTTTGCCTTTCCTATCATACATTTTGATAGGACTTATGATTTCCAAATAACCACTCTTCCATGTTCCAACCTGAAAGGTATAATGGCATTTGCCGTTGAAAATTGAATTAATTAATCAATAACATTAAATTGAACAAAATGATGAGAAACACTTATTTTACATCATTGAATAATAATAATAATAATAATAATAATAATAATAATAATTCGTTTATTCAGTGTCCTTAATTCAAGTATGTTCAATGAACTACAATGCTAGACAAGAAAAAAGCTAAAAGAGCGATACATTAGTTTATTGATTATTTTGAATTCATTTTAATCAGCTGTTGACCTCCACACCATGTGAAATATAATCAATTAAACTGCATCATCTAGCGGTCGAATCATACTAAGTAGATATTATTTTGGATGAAGGGTAAAAAAATTAGCATTTGAAGGGTCCTATAGGCTAATAACGAAATTATGGCGTATTCGTAAAATAGTGTACATTATTACATAATTGTTTTAAGGGTATTGAAAGGGTTTTTGATCATCCAGATATAAAAAATTGGATTTTTCCTGCATTTAATTATTTAATAATGCATTTACCTCTGTGCTGATTAAAAACAATAAAAATCCTCTCGAAAATATAAAAAAGTGTTAATATGCACTTCAAATAGCGTTTATGGTCAACTTAACAGCTTTCTATTTTGAGGTGAGATAGCATTCGTTATGGGGCGTAACTCCATCCCTGAATAGGATCTGATCACGAAAATTAGCAGACATGACGACAAGTGTATGTGCTTTAATCCTGTATCGTCATTTTGGTTTAAATGATTTTTGTCATGGAGTTACGAGCCCTTAAATACAATGCATTATTGAATAAAGTCTTTATTATGCCTTTTTAAAGATAGAATCTGAGCTAAAGTTTAAAGAAAAAATCACTGTCAGAGTTTTGAAGTATTAAATGATGTTATTAAATGGGTGTAAAAGGATGCTCAAAAGGGTGCTCAGGTAAAGGAGAAATTTATCAAACAGATTTTGCCCCAATTTTTTACCCCAAAATCGCAATTATGACGTCATCGTGAAGAAGACATATGTGTAACGCCCAGGAAATTAATCAGTGTACACTGAAGATTTATCTATTAGCCTACAAGTGTATAAGTTAGCAAATATAAGGCGTTTTTTTTTTTTCTTTTTTTTTCTTTTTTTTTTTTGCTAACCCTGACAGTTCTTGACAGTACCGTTATAAAGTAAAAGTATTATTTTCATCACATCACCTCTTTAATATCCAATGATTTGCCCGTCAGCTGGATATTGTACACACTGTACTTTGGGAAGCGCGCCTCACCAGTTTCTGTGAACGCCATGATTCTTCCGTCTAGCTGGGTAAACTCAACAGCTCGCAGATAAACCATAAGATCACTGGCTGGTAGGTTCACAAGGGCGTGGCATAGTCCAGGTCCAGTACATAAGTCTTTGTGGGCGTTTCTCAAGCCGTGCGCGTACGTGTACACTGCTGCAATAGTCTCGGCGACGAAGTCGTCTGCGCCAATTTGTGGTTTTAACGTGTCGCAGTACGTATAATGCGAACATTTGTATTGCTGAAATATTTATAAAAAAACATTAAAACAATCCACTGTGACCACGTGCACTGTAGCATAAGTATTGCGAGCAACCTAAGGTAAGGTATGGTTCCCTGATTAGAACTTAATTACCAACGTTACATGGTCACATGGGGACATCTTATCCTATCAAAAACAGTGTTACAGCGCTCTCATGGAAATCTTAGCCAACTAAGCCAGGGAAGGAGAAATAAATATTTAAAGTGTGAAGATGTGTCAATCCAGCAGGTATTAAGAGTGCTTATAGGAAAAAAAACACTGTTTGGTTCAAAACTTCAGTGTTAGTAATTTGATAACGTATGCAGTTCATGCAAATACCAACGTCAGATGGAAGCATAAGTAGATTTAATTTGGTCTGAATTAAAATAATATTAATATACGTCAAGATGAATTATACATCGGGATACATTACAACTAACCATATAGTGTGTATTAAACTTATATATCAGTCTGTGATGACCGTAATGTTCACAAGTATGAAATCATTCATCATGTAAAACTATAAGAACATTTTCATACCTGTGCATAATATTTGCTAAAGAATGGGTTGTCGTCGTTGTTTTCTGGGGTCAAAGATACAAAATATTTCTTGAATTCGTCGATAGTAGGCGAGTACGTCTTTGGGAAGATCAAACCTTTGATCACGTTGCTCAAGTATTGGTAGGTTTCGTCGTAGAAAAACGGAAGCGCCATCACCCATTGCAAATCTGCCGCCTCTGGAACAATTGGTATGGCTGCGTCGACTGCCGTGAAAAAGTCGCGGACAACTTTAGGCGTGGCCACCACTATCACACCAGGTGCACCTGAATGAAAATACTTTAAAAATAAACCACCAAGGCCTATCTATAGGCTCAAACTTTCGTGACGAAATATATAAACTCTGAAGTTTTTTTTTTCTCTGACTGGGTTTGATATTTATTAGTAAAGATCTTTGTGTGACCAAGATTTAAGGTCATGCAGTAGAAACGCAAGTCAGGGTTAATCAATGAAGAAATTCAAATCTACGAGGTGAAAAGGAAGAAAAATTGCACATAACGTTATGGTCAATTGTCAAGAATCAGATGGTAAATGCGTGCGTACACTTAAAATGGTTGAGTTTAACAGTTTCAAAAGTTCGCCAAAATCAACATCACAATATACTGACAATGTAACCTCAGCCAATGTGGGTTTAGAGCAAAGAGCAAATGTTGCGTTTTTTTAAAGATTCCTCTTATGTTTGGTTCATACACATCCCTGATATCACTTGGCGTATCTTTAGAATAGTCACCTTTTTTGGAAGCCTCGGTAAAGTCCTTCACGATGGACAGGTAGTCAGGCTTTGGGTCTTTGTCGGCTACAGATTTTATCTTCATCACACAAATGTTAGCATCTGATGGATCCGCCTGGCGCAGAATCTCTTCTTTCACTCCCTTGCTGTACGGATCACTCCCAACTAATATTGACACGTGCGTCCAGCCAAGTTTTCTCAAGATGGACATTACGACCTGACAGCGATAAAGGCTAAAGTTTGCACAAATATTTGGCCTTCCCTAGTTCGGACATGTATGATACAGTGCATTTATTGTCACAAGTAAATGGCCTTATCGATAATCTTGTAGTCTGAACTCAGCAGTATACGATATAAGTATATATATATATATGTATAAGCCTATATCTTTGAAGACCCCCCTTTTACCTAGCCGCTTCCCATCACCCAACCCTTTTCGTTACCTTGACATAAGAGGAAACGTTAGAAGCCGTCCTTTGAAAAAGTGGATAGAGCTCCTTGTCTCCCAGAGCGTTGCTGTGAGAGCCGTACGATACCAAGGGCTTCTTGACGCTAGTCAAAAACGAAGCCATCTCCTGTGTCACGTCACTATGTAGACTGCCGATCAAACCTAAAATTATTTGCCAATGTGAAAAGAGGGCACAGAATAGCAATCATAAACATGCTCAACGTATACCCTCGTTAGTACTTCATTTATCTTTTTTACCTCTGTAGGCGGTTAGTTCATCTTTTTAAAGATATATATATTTTAAACTTTCCTATCCTGGTTAATACACGAACAGGACTGGAGCTTACATAATTTTTATGTCGTGTGATGATATTTCATTTGTTCGCATATCCTGCGACTTAAATTTGAGAAAGAATTCATTTTTAGTAAATACACCTGTGGTACCTTTTAAGAGTTTGTCAAAGTTCATAATAGTTCCCAGTCGGCGTACTGTTGTTAATCTCATCTGCCTTTGGTCGTGTTTGGTAGACGTTTACGTAACAGAGGAATTTCATATTTGACGAAACAAATGCTTGTTTATCCATTTTGTGTATGATGCACTTTGACTAGGCACTTACCTGGATAGGACACATTTGCCGGGCAGATGTCCCCTGATTCGTCTGTAAATTTTTCTCTCTCAGCCAGAAAATTTACCAATCTCTTCACTCCAACATTGGGTGTCCCACAGTCATCGTAAGTTCGAATGCCTAAAACACATGAAAGGATTTGTTGTACCCTTTTTTCAAATTTTCAGAAAGCGCCAAGCCAGCAAATAATTTTTTCAGCGTAGAACCAAATTTAAGCATTAAAAAATAAATGGTACCTAACCAAAACTCGACTTTTTTTCGAATTTTAAAAGAGCTTGAAATTCTGTCAACATCTGAATCGAGAGAGAGAGGCAAAATAGAATAAAAACATGGATTTACCAAAGGTGACTCCGGGCAGAAATTTGTCAGCATTCAATTTCTTAACGGCAAAATGTGCCGCTTCCTGCCTGAGGATTCCATCGGGGTTTATTACGTCAGAGCACCCGGCAGAACCTCCCCGATGAACGTTGAATGTGGCACCAAGCTGGACATCCGCTTCGGTATTAACGCTTCCAAAACGGGTTTTCTCACAATCCTGGCCTAAACCAAGATGCACGGACAGAAAACACAAGCAAACTAGAAGCATATTTACCACGGTCATTTTCGTACCATAGCAGCGAAAAAATGTACTCTTTAAGATGCGAAAAGTTCGGTGAATTACATGTACAACCAAATAAGTTTGGTCGACAGAGGAAAAACGTTTTAGGTAAAACACCCAAACAGTTTCTAAAGAGTGATTTTTTTGTCGCTGGTTTGGTTTAAAAGCAGCAAAGTGTCATTAATCACTTTTCGAACATATGCAAATTGTATGAACTAGTGGCAATGACAATGAACTAATCAGACTTTCTCGTTACTGATTTGACCAAAATAGTGTGTCCGTTGTTTGACCAATCAAGGAGTTGTATAAGCAACACCCTGGACCAATCAAGTTCATCGCGTCTGGGTTTAAGTTGTTTTGGTGGCCTTGGCTTAACCATCGCAGTCTAATTGGTCGGAAATATTGCACTGACCAAACCTTCTTTATCTCGGTGGAAAATACAGGCTTGCCGCCATCGGTCATCGGAGAGCAGGCCAATCCTGCGGTGCACGTGTTGTAAGCTGTCCTAAGCAATATCTAATTCCAAATGAACTAAACAAACAACTACTCTGATACAAGTTTTGGATTGAAGAACTAGACGGCAAAGTGTGAAAAAACCTAACAGAAGTCATTCCAATCGCTAGTTTTCAACAAAAACGAACACATTTCAGTAATCAATAACTTTTTGCCAAAATAATCCGATCATACTTTATTTTCGAAATAACTGAGTGCCTTATTATCATACACGCCACTCAGTTAATTTTAAGTAAAACAGAATGGTTTTTAGCAGTTACTGGTTAAACAATACATGTGATGGACGGCGACGAAGCGGGCTGTCACAGTTATTAGAATATGCAAAAATGCATGCAATGTCTGTACATGTATAATAGAAATGATGCGTTATTTATTCGGATTATCAAGTATAAACATTGACATACAATATGAGAAACCACATGCAAGCGCAATACAAAACAACGATACAAATATTTTTCATGCTGGAACACATCTAGAATACAACAAAGTTAATGATCAGTTCATCAGAGTGCGTCAATTACTGACCACTAGACACAAGACATCCATATGTATACATACAACAATAAACTTACTACTGACTTAAAAAAGTATTTTCTTATCTGGATGATTTCTGGCGTAACTATTCTTTAAACTGCGGCATATAAGGAAGGGCGTGAACGAGTGTAAAGCTCAATCTAAGTTGTCATCTCTTATAACAACAAGCTCATTGTCGTAGATATATCTCGTTGAACCAAAGTACATCTAAAAATCGAACAGAAAAGTACGCGCTTCATGAAAGACACGATTATATTTTTTTCATGTTAAAATACATTGAAAAAAGACAATGGTCATAATCAGTTTGACTGCACCAGACTGTGACTAATACTGGTCACGGTAAACATGCAGTCACGCTATCACTTCGATAATCCATAAATATAAAAATTAATTGAATAACGACCTTATTACAGATGTGTTGCTGCTAAAAAAGAATGAAAAAATGACAGGTAGGGATGCAATGAATTAAGAACTTTGCCTACGTGTTTATTCCCATAAATGCGAACTGAGCACCAGCAATTCTGCATGGTGGATTCAAAGTATTGAGTCAGCAAAATTTTTTGTTTCATCGTCAAACGCAGTTTGAATAAGAAAAGAACCTGAAAAATGAACCTTAACAATATTTGCCATATTCCGTAGGCATACATTTTAAATGTAAAATGTACCATTTATTTCATAACATTTGTTTTAATTTACTAAATGCAAACGGATAAATGTCGTACAAGGGGGACCAGTTATTATTTAAGTTGGAGAGGGAGGAGGGAGGAGAAAATGGGGGTGGGGACCTGATATTTTTAAACAAAAATTAGGGTAGTCTCGAAATTTGAAAATAATAGATAAGAGGAGTCTTGAGAAAATTAATTTTTGATTATATATATATATATATATATATATATATATATATGTGAATTCAGATTTTCTTCATCTTTCAATGTAGAAATTCTTACATTTCTATTGAAATTTGCAATAAAGTGTTGGTTACACCTTCTCATCATGCGTAATATTAAATTAAGCACCATAAGGTATGGGATATTTGACATCCCACAAAGTATCATATCCCACTAGAATACATGCATATATAAAATATTAACAATTTGTGTCTGATTAAATTTCATTATATCTTTTCGACTTTCCTTTCATACAGGGTTGCCAGTTAGTTGGAAAAATAAAAATTCCCCGACTTTCACCAAATCCTGATTTTTACTGACCAATACCACCTAATATTTCGGCCTCCACCTTCCCTACAACGTCCAATCCGCCAATAACTGTTTAATTTTTTTCATCAAACCAATTTTATTATGATTTACTAGATAACAAATATGAAAATATTAAAATTTAACATAGATGATGTTTAAAACCTTACTCATGGTTTTGGTCAGCAAGTGTTATCTTTTATATTGCTGGAAGAATGTCATAGCTACATAAAATATTAAAAATTTCCTAGAATTTTATTTTTCCCTAACCTTTTCTGACGTTGCTGACATGAAGTTTCCTCTGACCAAAATGCCAATTTCCCTGACAATTCACTGACCTTAAATTAAAAAACCATTTTCCTGACTTTTAAAATTATCTCGCAACTTTGTATTAGATTTCTTTAATAAAGAAAATGGAATAAACTCTAGTATTTACTATCTACGGTTAAATCCTGTACATGTCTTATTATAGAGTGCCTAAATTGAAGAGAAAAATAATGTTTGCATTCAAAAGTTTTTTTTTTTTTTTTTTTTTTTGTAAAACCATTCAATTTGTACACACATTTTTTTTATTGAAGTCCCCACATGAGTGGAGTTTTTCATGCCATACTCTTTATGTCATAATGAAAAATATGAATTTTGCACAGTTCGTATATTCTTTATTATGGAGGGGGGGGGGATTTTTCAATCAATCCAGAAGGGGGGATCAAGAAAAAATAAAAAAACTGTCCGGGGTGGGGGAACGTAAACGAGACAAATTATAGATGCAAAAATAGTAGAATTAAAAAAGAAGAATCAAGGTACTAGTAGCCTGCACTCGATCATCCTGTTACATTTATTAGCATAGGACCGTAGTAAAGATGATTGGCCACATTTTAATTTTAAAAAAGCCAAACGAAGAAAAACTTTAAACAAAATAGTGACGAGCTGGATAAAGCTTGTGTACATTTTTCTCTTATAATTATTTACATGCGTCCTGTTATCTGTTCTATGTGTTAACGAAAAGCTTCTAAATAGATGCAAATAATATCAGCTGATCTGGACTGCCTGATGCTGACGGCTGAATCCCAATCTTTCAAGAAAATTGTTCATTTTAGGCGCAGTAGTGAGTACAGTAGCAAATCAAGCATATATACCCTTAATAACGATTAGGATTAACATGTACGAATTGACACATGAGTTTTCAGTTCGATCAGTTAAATTAATCTGAAAAGCAGCATAATCAATTCAGTACGATTAGACGCTTAGCTGACATTTTGGAAAATGACCCTCTTTTGCAAATTATGTGTGCTTTAAAACTCAAGTTTGTCAGCAATGAAATGGACTGCTCTGGTAACTTTGTAAATAGAAACCTATTCATTTTTAATATGTGGAATCTAAATAAATTTCGATTTCAGTCAAACACTAGTGTCCATTTCTTCTTCATTGTAGAGGAAAATTTTTTCAAGCAAAATGAAATTTGAAGTGCTCAAAATCTCCTCTCATGTCGTCACTGGACGGCTGCACGAGGTGCACGTGGTCGATGTCAGTCTCGTCTGACAACATGGTTCTCCACGTCCCTTTAAGATAGTCATTAGAGTGGATGCAACCCCCGGGGATATAGACAGTGTGGCGAACCGGTACTTTGAAGCCCGTCACGTGCAGCTCGTCGTCACCAACGAATTTCGCCAAGACGAAAATGCCCGAATCCTCATCAAGTGGACAATCAAGATGGGAGAAGTCGTGCTTTTCGATCCCAGCCCCACCATTTTTGCTTGTGACGTAATCTTCGAGGTACTTGTTTTCGTAGGTGAAGTCCTGGATGCCGTGACGATATAGAAGCGAAATCTTCTCTTGTTGGGCGTCGGCGATGCTGCATCCGTAGTACCTCAAGTGCTCATTGGTAGCGATATCGGTGGCGATGACACCACTGAAATCGTTGGGGAAAATAACCTTGCCCGACTTCCCAGGGGTAGTGCTCGAAGCCCAGCGGACGCCTTTGACCGTCGTATGTTTAGGGATGAGGGGAGGAAGATCACTGAAGCAGGCAATGTCCATTAAGTTGTATTTCCCTGGAACGATGTCTGCCACCATACCATGGCCACCTGTCATGACGGGCTCGCCAGAGGCACCAAGACGACGGAAAGTTGCGAATTTGTCCCATCTGTTGCGCACATATTTTGCCAGCTGGTCAGCATCTGTGTCGTGGTATTCCTTTCTGAGCTGGCGCTCAAAGACACTGCTCTCGCCCTCTTCATCTATTTTTTCCATTTTTTCCGCCAGATTTGGAAGCTCTAGCTCACTTTCTTCCCGCAGGTGCATATCTCGGAAATCTGTAAACGTGATCACACCCTTCTCTTTTTTGTCCATCTTGTTAAACGCATTAAATAATTTTGATACTCGAATGGACCTTCTCTTTTCCCAGTGATATTCTGCAAATTGCTTGAAGTTTAGTGTCCCTGTGCCGTCTCTGTCAGCCTCAAGGAAAGCAGCCCGGAGTGCTGCCACGCAAGCCCCGTTACCACTCTCATCTATGATGTATCGCAGGAAATAATCTTCAAATTCTGCAAACTCAATCCGTCCATCCAAGTCTTTGTCTATGGTGTTGAAAACCATGTTTACCTCTTTCTCTGGCATGTTGAGACCAAGTTCGTGGATAAAGGAGGAGAATTCCCCTCGGTCTATACAGCCGTTGCCGCTGCGGTCAATTTTCACAAAGACAGCTTTGATTTTGTCATTGTTGTTGTCATATACCTCCCCCTCTTCTTCTGAACTGCTGCCCCTGTTATTTAAGGCGTCTTCAGTGGGGATGATTTGCTTTGGCTTTGTTTTTGGCGGAGACGGTCTTGGATATGGGTTAGGTGACGGCGGTTTAAACGCCTGGTTAGGCTTTTCTTCCTTAAGACCATGGATTTCAGAAGCTTCATCTCGTTTTTGGCGGAGTTCTCTCAGGAGCTTTTGGACTGGTGTTACTTTTGTTTTACATGCATCGATAACCTCTTCAAGACTGACAAGCCACGCACGTCTTTCTGCCTTACAAAAGTTGGTTCCACCCAGCTCGCACTCAATCATTGGTAGGTTTGATATCTTGAAACACCCAGAAAGCTTGTGGACCACCCCCCTGTAGTTACTAGTGTTTTCAAGTTTGGTGTTCTTGGTGATCATAATTTCGCCCTTCTTGTTGACCCCCTTTTCACCAGAGGCGACCTGCTCGTAGTATTCTAGACAACCTGGCTTCAAGACAAACCATCTTTTGTTCCAATTGGTCCAGTTGGCTTGTTTTCTTGTACGTTTATACAGCCAACCTGTCTTCAAGACTGCCTCCACCAGCAGCATGTGCAACTTGTCGATGCAGGCATGAACAGCAGCTGATGTCGATTCCTGGAAGTAGACTTCGTTCAGCTTGTCCACCAATTCTTGAAATGTGGCGCCTTGGTTTTTGAATGTGACATCTTTGGTTTTCCAGTGTTTATCCAGCATGGAGGCCACTTTATCGCTGAGCCAATTGCGTTCTTCCGGGGCCACGACTGGAGGGTAGGAACCTTCTTGTGCAAGGCGGTTGACAACTTGCCAGAGGTGGAAAAGGTCCTTGTCGGGTAGCGCACTACTGTAGGCCTCTCTACACATGGTCCAGCATGCTCTTTCTATGTCGTTGAACACAACATTAGGGGCAAACCCTTTCTCAGCAAGCGCTTTGGAAACGTAAGTTTTATATTTGTCGAATGTCACTGCATCGTCTGTGAAAGTTTCATTAAATTTGTGATCGGAATAGTTGACTGACTGCAGATGGGCCAACTGGGCTGTGGTTTTCTTTAAAGAATTGTGTTGAAGAGTTTTGGTGCCTTTGTCCGTCTCTTGGGCAAAAGCTGCTTGCCAAACACACACTAATTGCTCCCCAGGCATGGTTCTGAAAATTCGACAAGATAATAATGTTCAGTTTGTTGAAGATAGAAGTTCACAATGCATGGCAATTATGCAAGCCAACAAGAGCTTTGCTTAAAACAATTTTCTGTTGTCTCAAATTAAATTAAAATAAAATGAATATGAAAGTAGAACACGTTATTCCAAGGTGCCTTAGGTACAAATGTATAGACAAAATACATTACTGTGTAGTAGTTTTGAAAAAAAAAATGCTATGTATTTTACACGGGAAATTGAGTTTTTCCGGAGAATGGCTATCATATCATTATGTAACCTATTTAAAATATGTGAAAGGAAAATATGTGAAAGGACGTGGTTAAAGAACCACTTATATCCTTGTTCCGTTAGACCTTTTCTAAAGCCAAGTGAAAAAACCAACTTTTGTTATATAGTTGAAAATAAAGGGTAATTTCTGTCATTTTGTCCTCTTTACAATCCGTTTAGAGATAGAATAATAATTGTCGTAGGAATGTTGCCCATTTTATCTTCAACTGGATTACATAGAAAAAATACTTGTTTTAATAAATGGCAAAATGTCACCAAAACCTGTGCTAGTTATCATTAAATCTTACACTATATAATCTCATGTTTGAGGATCCTGGATATTTTTTCCTTAACGGAATCGTGACACATAAACAAGCCAGCAACAGATTGTACATGATAAAACACATGATCATGACATGATTCAGGAGTCTGTTGAAGTAACCAGTTACAGCCAGTTACCGGTACAGCCAGGTTATGTTTAAGGGATACGATACGTAGAACATATTCCCTTTTCCGCGTAGGTAATGCGTAAATGAACTTCGCCATGATATGACATAATGCTGTCACATTAAAAAAATCTTTATTCGGAGGAGGGTTGGGGGGGGGGGGCTACTGGGCAGAACAGGAATTATTTGAAGGGGGTCTAGTTTTTTAGGAATGACAGACCGCAGATGCGAAGCCGATCCTCAACCTCCCCCCCCCCCTGACATGGAATTCGGGGCCCACTGAAATGTTGGCATTTTAGAGGGCGAACGGTGTCATTTGGTACGGTTTAGAACTATGATTCAGCTAGTCAGAATTCTAATTTCAGGAGGGAACTATTGGCGTAATTTTTTTCAGAAATCGAAGGGGGGGGGGGGGGTAAGGGACCCCCTGCCCCCCCCCCCCCCCCCCCCCCCCCCCCCCCCGCCCCCTCAACATCCGCCACTGGGTAGAGGGGTTAACAAGTTGTAAATCTAAAAAAGGACTCGCTGAGTAAACTAGCTTATCAGTGAGGGTTGCGCAATACTTTAGCGTTAATTTTTACCTGAGAATACGATCTGGCCGAGATTGTAAAACCAGTCGTCAGAGGGCTTACATAAATAAAAGTCGATTTTTTAAATCCTAGTTTCAGTGAGATCGCTCAAGCTTTAAATGTATGTGTCCAGAATAATCGACGGATTAAGCCAATAAAGAATGAAATATACGCTTGAATGAGCTCCGGCGTTTCGTCAATACTTCCCCAATACTTCTTCCGGGAACTGATCACTGATCGGCATGTAATGTTAGACCTATTATCACTTCAGATGTGAGGTCGGCATGGGCGTCCGCAGAAAATTTTCCAGGGGGGGGGGGGGGCAAAGTCATTGAAGGGGGAGATAATGATTGGCTGGGTACCCGCAATTAACGTGCCCGCCAAAATTCCAGGGGGATCAAGTGACCCCATTGATACCCCCCCCCTGCGGACGCCCATGGTAATATATATATTTTTTTATTGACCATACTCAATACCCAAACTTGAGTAAAATGTTTGCTGTCCCATCCAGACCAACTCTCTGGACGACGACGGAATTCTGGTGGGTAACTGGTCCGGCGACTACTCTGGCGGCACTGCACCCACTGCCTGGGTGGGGAGCGTCGCCATCTTGGAGGAGTACTGGAAGACGAAGCAGCCCGTCAAGTTCGGCCAGTGTTGGGTGTTCTCCGGGGTCGTCACCACGCGTGAGTCTTATCACATGGTTACACGTGATTTGCGCTGCCACACATGGGTCTTTAAGCATTGTCACGAGCCTACTGAAACTTGAACTTGGGTTGATACTTTTCTCGTTAATGTTAATGTATATATTGTAGAATGTTAATTTGCACAAATATTGTTAAAGTGATGTTAATGCTGCACTGTGCAGATGTGTTTTGTCTACTGTTCCGTGCAGAATATTTATCCACATTACCGTTAATTGAAATATTTCAACCAAATAGGGTCCTTATAGTATCCCAGTTAACATTACTTTAAATATATGAAGATAGGGGAAGGCATGTTATCTCATAATGTGATCCGCGTACGGGATAGAATTTTCTATTAGTTCAAGGCGTATCAGGTTATGAAAAAAAAAAGAGAGAGAGAGAGAAGCAAGATCTGCCAGCGATAGCAGTCCATGCAATAGCCGCACCTGTGCTGAAGTGCACAAAGCGTGGGAAGAGGGTATCCCAGCAATTTATAGTTGATTAAAAATGAGGAAGCGCTGGTCATATTTTTTCTGACATATATGTTAAATCTACCTTGAACTTGGCTAGGGTCTATATTTTCATATCGTGGTTAGGAAAATGTCGGGAGTTTTATACTCATTTAGCCCTCTAGGCATGCAGCTGAGCATACTTTACTCACATGCTGAACAAGCTTCATACAAGACCGCCAGGAATTGGGTCACATTATATTCGTTATTACCCTTTCTAGCTCCGACATGCATCAAAATGGGAAAGAAAATTGGGAGGCGGACGAAACTGTGTGGATAAAATCGCTCTGTTACCTAAGCTTTGATGTCATTGGCATTCACACATATATACATAAACACTAATATCTATATTTTAGAACCACGATTTCACGTGACCTTACTTTCCTCATCGCACAGTGTATTATATTATTTCAGAAAATCCAGAATGGCATTAACATCCTCAGTGCGATTTATCTGTAGAGTCCACGTAGTGTATTGAAGAAGAAACATACTGTGTAGCGTTATGCTCTTTGGGTTTATAGTGCATTTTACACACCAATTTAAACCTTGCAAGTGTGATTTAATGGCGAGAAATGGTGTTGCCGTACATTAATAAACCCTAGTTAAGGGATGTTTAACAATGAACCAGGCAAGCAAATTCTCCTTATACAAACATTAGTTATGAGTTATTTTTAAAGAAAATGTATACTTTGAGATTGCACTTTTTATTATTTCATCTAGTGTTGGTATCAGTCGAGTAGGCCTATATAATTTATTTCCTTGTTGGATCCCTTGCCTTGNGGGGGGGGGGGGGTCAAGTGAGCTATTTGTAGCCTCCGTGGATAATTTCGGATTTCAAAGTTTCTTTTACAATCAAGTTTTGCAACATAGGAGTATATCTGTTTTACAACATTTCAATCATAGTGCTCTTTAGACGCGAAAAAAACCCCTCCTACCTTCCCTTACAGACTTTGACCGCTGTAAAGTAAAACTGGTCAGGCACATTTTCTTTACTGAAATGTTTTCTGATTCTGGTAGTTTGGCGGGAAAACATATACTACCAGTATCCTTTTTCTAAATTTTTGAAACAAAGAGGCGTATGATAGACCGCCTTAGGCTGTATTCCCAGAGCTTTTAGATCGATCTATCCCCGCGGGGAGTCTCACTAGATTACTGTCAGATAATCCGGCTTAAATGTCCGTCCCGCCTACTACAAGCTGTAAGGGGGTAATTAACTTTCGTGTCCTCTCGGCTGACAGCTATTTAGCGTGAACACCCAGGGAGTTAGGTCGATCTAAAGTAGATCGATCTAACCTCTGGAAATGGGGTCTTAGTTGAAATACAATAATGAATTAGGCCTATCAAAAGTAATGAAATTTTGAAAAAAACTGTTTGACAATCTTGTAACTTTTCCTACATTTTTGCCCCGAATATGACACAAAATATATGTACCAAAAGGGCATCTTTAATCTGATTTGGTTTGAAGTTGTTGCGGTAGTAAATAATAAATAAATTAATTCAACCATACCAACAGACGCGGGCGATCGCAAGACACACAGTTACTACTGGGGCTACACAAAAATTCACATGAAATAATTTTAATTCAATGTGTTTCTTACCTTCAGCGTCAGTTTCAAATGGCAAATCTTTTCAAGGTAAACAGTTTCTTTGCATGAAGTTTAGTGTCATCACAGTCTTATTGAAGTCTCTTCTTACACTGTCCTTCCTGTATATGTTAGAACACGCTCACGTGCTTCTATTTATACCGCTGGGACAACGTGAAAATCCCCACGTTTAATATTTAGCCACCTACATTGTACATCCTGGAAAAACCCATTAAGAGATCTCGCTTTGGTAAGTGTCAAATATACAATTTACGGCATGATAACGGCTAAAGACAGACGTCGGAATTTGCACAGTTGGGGGGTGCTAAGATTACGCTATTCTCGTAGGCAGAATAAAAAGTGGGCGAGCCCCCCCCCCCACCCCCACCCCCTCCACACACAATTTTTTACAGATCAAACGAGGACTTCTCTCTCCCAAATGGGAGAAAATATAAAATGAGACCCACAGATAGATGTTTTTATTCTTCTGAGTAAGCAAAATACATTTATGGTGCTCAAAACTTCATCGATCTTTTTCTAATTCAAAATGTAGGGCCCTAGGTATATGTAAAAGTGGAGGGAGCAAAAAAAAAAGGTACATAAGAAGAAACCTTTTTCACGCCCTTGATCCAACAGTGTATAGACAATTAACTGGGTAGAAAATATTAATGGAATTAAGAGCTGAAGACTGAAGACACGTGCCTGATTATAAAATTACTGATCCATCTGTAGCTGTTTAGTGGGAGTGCTGAGTCACCCGCTTTATGCTTTACCGGAAAATATACTATAACACATAAAAAGTGTGACACAAAAGAGTCGCATGAGGAAATAAGCTTATAAATTCTTATCAAATTTTTGGAATTGCAAGATTCTGACTGAAAAAGTTTGTGCGTGATTGGTTATCGTTTATAATCTAAGCAGTGACTTCGCGATTTCAGTTGAGGTGACTCACTAATTTCTTTTTCACTTTTCGGTAGATGAAGAAAGCGAAACCATATCAAGGCCATCACTTATCTTGTTTTTCTTGCAAAGTATTTTTTTTCTGCGTCTGTCGAGCCTGTGCCCTGTTTATTTACAGATAAAAAGAGACCAATTCGCGAGAAGTATGTTTTATCTGCACCTGCTCGAGCTAGTTTGTGTATGACTCATTTTATCATTACAGCTCTTCTTGGAAACAAAAAACAAATGAGAAAAAAAAAAAAAAACGAAAGTGAAAGCAAAATGCAGGTGGTTAGGGTGCAGAAAATACGGTAATAATATTATGCTTGAAAAAAGTTGCCATTATTTAAATCTGCCCCCCCCCACCCCAATTCATATAATATTTATTTTAAATTTATTATTATTATTATTATTATTATTATTATTATTATTGGCACATCTTTGTTGGAGCAGGGGGTTGTTTATTTTTTCTCAAAGGTAACACCAAGCTTCCATCCCCCCCCCCCCCCCCACACACACACACATAGGCCAGCCCTACACACACACGCTGTCAAACTTTTTAATTGCGGATAGATCCTCATGAACTAAATATAAACCATGCCGTCAGACAGATTTCTTCCTTCAAGTTGTGATTCCATCTCTTAATCGGAATTTAAGAATTATAAAAGGGTTATAGATTTTGCTGACTCACTTTTAATATAAGCTGCAACATTATTAAGTAAATGATGAGTAAAGGTCGGGTTAATGTTCGGCCAACTGCCGTTTCCGAAATTCTCCGAACTTCGAGTTGACCTACAGGTATATTTATATACATAACCTCTGACCTAGTTTTACTTCCTCCTTTGTGCCCATGACCACGGTGTTGGTAACACGTCTAGTTCCTTATCGCCATTTCAGTTATTTAGTCAGAGACACATTTTTTGTCAGCCATAACTTGTCAAGGCAGGGAATCACTCCATTCCTCCAGCACAGAGACCGAGACAGGGCAGTTCCAACACAGGTGAGCGTTAGCAGGCTTAGGCTTAGCACACTGACGTATTTATTTTTAATACGTTAGCACGCCTATTTTAGTTACACTCTCTGGTTTGTAAGACACGGAGACTGGAAAGAGGGTCCCATTGACTATTTTCGTCACCTGTGAAAGACACTTTTTATTTCCCGTGATAGGCTACGTGAAACAATTATTATTTAGCGTAAATCCGGGAAGCACCCCGTTCCCGTGACTTGTGAATGCGGCTTTTTGTTCCTTGACCTTTGTGTAACGAGTTATTCTACTCGCTGATAATGTGATATTCCACTCCCCGGACCCACATTTTCTATAGGATATGNAGACAGATTACTTCCTTCAAGTTGTGAATTCATCTCTTAATCGGAATTTAAGAATTATAAAAGGGTTATAGATTTTGCTGACTCACTTTTAAGCTGCAACATTATTAAGTTAATGATGAGCAAATGTCGGGTTAATGTTCGGCCAATCGCCGTTTCCGGAATTCTCCGAACTTCGAGTTGACCCACAGGTATATTTATATACATAACCTCTGACCTAGTTTTACTTCCTCCTTTGTGCCCATGACCACGGTGCTGGTAAAACGTCAAGTTCCTTATCGCCATTTCAGTTATTTAGTCAGAGACACATTTTTTGTCATCCATAACTTGTCAAGGCAGGGAATCACTCCATTCCTCCAGCACAGAGAACGCGACAGGGCAGTTCCAACACAGGTGAGTGTTAGCACACTGACGTATTTATTATTAATGCGTTAGCACTCCTATTTAAGGAAAGGGTACACTTACACTCTCTGGTTTGTAGGACACGGAGACTGGAAAGACACTTTTTATTTCCCGTCATACGTGAAACGATTATTATTTAGCGTAATTCCGGGAAGCACCCTGTTCCCGTGACTCGTGAATGGGGCTTTTTGTTCCTCGACCTTTGTGAAACGAGTTGTTCTACTCGCTGATATTCCACTCCCCGGACTCACAATTTCTATGGGATATGAATAATGACGGTAGGGAATACCCCCCCCCCCCCTTACTGTGATTTGTGATTTGATGATTTTATCTCCTTTGAACTGCCGTCGCCCCCCAAATGCGACCCCCAGGAAATTGAAGAGCTAATGCATGAAATTTTGAGTTAACGGCTAAATCTGATTCACACTACATTATCTTTCAGGTATTTGTTTTAAACAGTTTCTTTGATTTGAAAAAAAAATGTTGAAATTTGAATTAGACATCTTTAGATGAGACCTTATGGATGGCTGTTTTTTTTTTACTGGCACCTTTCAGGAATTTTGCTATATTTTCATCTCTTTGATCTGCTGCACTTATACCTTGGTTCAAGTTTAGATGTCAGTCTTCTCTAGCTGCTTTCTTAAAAGTATGAATTGGTTAATTCATATAAATTATAAAGCAGTAAAGTTTTCCTGTTTCTTTCTTTTTTATTTCTATTATATTGCTCACGAATATCATTCCGTTCTAAATTGCTAATAATATTTAGTTTGATATTATCAAGGACCCAGTTATATTTTTAAAATTGTAAAATAAATAATTTAAAAAAAATCATTGCCTTGGAAATGTTGATACATGTGCTATTTTCAAGAGTTCCATTATACTTTGGTTTATTAAGTTGATAATTGTCCCTGCAAGACCTTTTTCCAGTATCTCATTGTTATAATGCCTCATTATCAAAAGGAGAGTATATTTTACATCCTGGACCAAAAGGAGAGTATATTTTACATCTGGCAGAAATGTCAATTGTTATAATAATGTCTATAGTGATATGCATTCTGCATCTAAAAATCAAATAGAAGTTTATTATTTAAATGTTTTTTTTTATATCTGATTTTGATGTGATACACCTCCCCCTCTTTCCCCCTACCCATCAAACCACTAATCCAACTACCACCGTCTTACTCAAATGTATTGAAGATAAATCTATGCAGCCTTTGGCACAAAATCAAGTTTATTTCTGATCAATTTGTACATTTAGCTTCACTTTGTTGTACATTTAGCCTCACTAAACAATCATTTCAGTTTTTTTATAATATATTTGAAATAAGGTATATATCTGTTTTAAAATTATTTTTCAGAGCTATATACATTCTGAAAGCCAGCATGTCCAGCCAAGCATCTGATGACAGACCTCATCTATACACAGCCTGGCATTCCCCCTTTGGGTGGAGAGCATGGACCTCCCTTCTAGAGAAGGGGGTGGACTTTGTGTACCATGAGACAGACCCTTATGACAAGTCCCCCGAGTGGTTCAAGATCAGCCCCAGGGGACTGGCTCCGGCTATTCACCACAAGGGGAGAGCTGTGTATGAAAGCACTGTTTGCATTGAATATATCGATGAAGCATGGCCACACGAACCCCGCCTCATGCCCTCTGACCCCTACGATAGGGCTTACGTGCGCATGTGGGCCGACCACGTGAATAAGAAAATCATTCCCCACATTTTTGGCATGATTGTGAAACAGACACCAGAAGAACAAGAGCAGGCTAAAAAAGACGCCCTAGATGGGATTTTGGCCTACACGCAGGCCATGCGCGATGGAGGTCCTTATTTTCTTGGTGCTCAGTTTTCATTGGCTGATATTGTTCTTGGCACTTTTGCATCCATTTTCTTCTGCATGGAACATTATCGTGGGTTCAAGGTGCCAGAGACTGAACAGTTTGCTCGCTATCATACTTGGATTAATGCAGTTAAGAGTAGAGAAAGCTGGCAGAAAGTGCTGCCATCTAGGGAGAAGGTGCTTGAAGATTGGAGACCCTATGCTGAGGGGAAGGCCCAGACAGAGTTGGCTAAAGCTGCTAGACAAGGAAAAACTCCATAAAATTTTTAAGATTCTGACATTTAAGGAATCATTAAAAAAATAAAACTGAATTGGATCAACGTAGACAAGCGACGTACTAGTTAACCAAGTAAAGAAATCTAATGTAATCGGTCATATAATGTTTTTTTTTTACATAATATGGAATGATGATCATTTTCACAAACACTTTCATTAATTTTGTATTAAAAATGCTGAGTTATTTTCAGGTCTTACCAATTTGTGAAATTTATTCCTGTAAGCAATTTTGAAGTGCTTTATGTTAGGATATGGACAACTTTTATACTCTAAGGCTTCGTTCACATGCAATGTCTATTTTCTAAATTCTATTTTCTATTCGCGCTATCTTATGATCACGGTCTGTGCACTGAATATCCCGCCGCGTAATTACTGGCAGCGCGAGCCAGTTACTTATAGTAACTTAAAGTAACTGGCTCGCGCTGCCAGTAATTACGCCGCGGGATATTCAGTGCACAGACTGTGATCATAAGACATACCGAAAATAGAAAATAGAATTTAGAAAATAGACATTGCATGTGAACGAAGCCTAAGACTAAAGGGATTAAAAATTGTTTGTAGGCTCATTTGAGCAAATTTTTCACATTTAGACTAAAGGTTGTAAGCCAAGATAATTAATTAAGTGCAAATAGTTCTTTATTTGTTGAAACACCTGCATTTGCTAAATTTTGTAAATCTTTCTAAATATCTTTATTTTGGAAGCTTTTTTGTAGTTTATATATATATATATTTTTATTTTCTGCCACCTTTTGAGTTTATTTTCCTGAGAACTAACCATGTGTAAATAAAATATAATTCACTTTTGGGCAGTGGTTGGTGGAGATCTGAAAAACGTAGGAATAAAACAGGAATATCACATGATCAGTACTGCATCATTTGTGTCTTTTGCAGATTCTGTGAAATTATTCAATCTGACTCAATGGCGTTTTACTCTTACTATGAAAACCATAACCACATGGAATGACAGGAAATGCATTTATTATTTCAAATTACAAACTTAAGGCTTTTCATATATAGTTGTACTGTCTTCAAACAATCATAGTAATAAATACTCAAAAGAATTTTACTAAGCAACATCCATCCATCAATATAACTTGTTAAGGATTTGTATACAGTATATCTATACACTTCAATATACATATCAGGCTTATTATATACACTTAATATTATCTCTTCTGTCTCGACTCTTCTCCACGAGAGGTACTAGTGATTAAATAAACATTCTTTTAGTGAATTATTTATCTGCATATGTTCTCTATTTTGTTTTTAGCATACTTTTATTGGATGCAAAATCTGGTATGAGTGTCATAACACCATACAAGAGAAAACCTGTAAATAAATTATTCTGCCCAGACTATTAAATAAATATCTTCATTAATTAGCAGAAAACAGGTAGTTTATAGAGTATCTGGCATCTTGGTTGAATGGAACCTCTTGCACACACTAAATAAGCAAGCTAAATTTAAATTCAAAAGCAATATTTGCCTTTTCTCCCATATTGCCCCAAGTTAAAGTAAATTATCCTATTAACCACAACATCCATTTAATGTTTTTTAACAAGAAATTACTTTTTGAGAAGTGTTTCCGCAACTATGTACTGCTAGCCAGTAGGAATGAATGGCCACTTTTACTGTTTACCAGATGAAGGGGCAGTTCAAAGAAATAAGCATAGGGTCCAGCTTAAATGGCAGATCAAAAGGACAAAGGTGTCATGCTCCTCACAAAGAAATCGAGGTGTTCCCTTTTCCCCCTTTCTGGCTCTACAAAAAAGCAGTATAACCGGATAAAACCAAGCAAATGTCCAGTCCAATGCCCTATGTATTATCATTACAGTAAACTTACCCTTGTACCATTTTATATCATTCAAGAGAAGTGAGTTGAAAGATTTTACGCTTTTGCCCCCACCCTAGACTTGCTTTTATTTCAGCTGACTGTGGTTTGATATAAGGGTTATGAGGGGAGTCATTAATGCAACATTGTCTCTACTGGCGTCACCATCACTCCACTGTTATATGGACACTGACTGCAAAAGTACACTTAAGCATAATTAAGATGGCTTAAATGGTTTAAAATTCAAAGCAGACTTGAGGGTCGTCTTTTTCTGAATATTAAGTGAATTAATATTATATAATGGGGCAAGTGTATATTGGATGTAAAGCTGAGCTTGTATGCACTGCTCTTTTTTCTTAACAGTTTCATGAAAAGGTTAACAATGTAATATATTACCTGCATTAATGAACTTTTGTAGTCACAGCACCCATGAAAACCGCTGACTACAGCATTTGAAAAAAAAAAAAAAAGATTAACCACGCCATTTTCCTTCTTATAAAACCAAAATGTTGGATAGAGAATATGAACCTTGTTCACAATAAACACATTAAGTTGGACAAAGTTGGTGCTTATTGTACACAATGTAAAATGCCACTGGCTCCTGTGTGTTACCCTCTTGAAAACAGAATACTGATGATGACTGCCAGTTAGCAGAGGTATTCATATTGCTGATGGGTTGTTTTTCACTAATACACTCTTAATGTTTATATATTGCTATCAGTTAGTTAATTACCCTAGACTACCAAATCAAATTTCAATATCTAAACTGCAAGTGCTATAATCATAGTGTGCAACAAACCAATCATATTTTGTTTATGAGTACAAAGTTGATCCAATTGGATCCAAGGGAGAATATGTGTATCCTGTTCTTTTCAAAACAATATTTAAAACAAAGGCAATTGGTATCATGCCACACTCCGATACATTTTTGAATGTGACAAATTCAATTCGAAATAATCACAAGACATCCTTCATTTTGACGCAATACTTCTGCTCCTTATACTTCCAAAGACAAAACAAAAAATATCAATAGTAAGACACAAACCCTAGAATTACAAAACAAAAATTTCTGCTACTTCCGTGACAACAGTTGTATCCATTTTTTTAAATAAATATGATAATTTCTGGATCCTACTGTGCCTATGTCCGAAATGTTTCGAAACATACAACCACAAAGTTCTATCCTTGTAACACAAAATAAGGAAAAATTCTTGAACTTGCCATTCCCTGCCTTTTGTTCATTGTTTTTGAAAATCCATTACTTAAAGGGAAAAAAAAAGGCTTATATAAATTACAACATGGTGAGTGCAACTATACATTTTTTTTTACAAATAGACTCGTTCTAAACCTTTGCTTATGTATAGAATATTGATTTCTATTGCTTGGTGTCTTCAGAACAAATATGAAAATCTACAAAAGAAATGCACCAATATTTTGTAACTCCTCTCATTTCAAAAGACAGCCAATATGTTATGAAGGTGCTTACAATTTTAAGATATCCAAAGATAATACACAATATATTACATCTTAATAATCCACTCATGAGTTACTTTTTTTAAAAATTACTAAGATGACAGTGGTCAAAATAGTCTAAGATTACGAATTTATCCCAATTGCTCAATGCCAAGCACTCAACAAGTTACATTTGCCTTAATGCTAGAGAAAGAAGTGTCAAAATCTACTTGTCAGCCTCCTTTCTTGAGACTTGGGAGAATCCAGTTATTTTGGTAAAAAAAGCAGGTAGAACAGAGGTCCAAAATGCACCTTTCTTCTAATATCTATTATAATATAAATACAAGGACTGATGAATTATTTCCATACTCTGATGCTGTCTGTTTGTTTGTAGTGAGAGGTAGACTAGAACCATGGCAACGGAGGGAAATGAACGAGGTCGATTACACTTCCAGGAAATCTTTCAGAAGAGTCTGTCTCCTCTTTTCGGCCACATCCATTTGATTTTCAAGGTCCTTGAAAAAAAAAACACCTTTAAATTAGTTTAATTTTAGTCAACATGAAAATGCTTGCAGTAGGATCTATTGGTTGTTTAAACAACTGTTACAGAACTAGCTTCATATATCAACGTCCTTTCATCTTGCAAAAACATTCTTTTAAAAATTTAACAAAAGAAATAACATTAATTTCACGTGTCAATATAAAGTTAAATACACGAGGAAGGATTCCTTATCATCTTCATGACACTTTCTCTCATAATTAAATTCAAATATGAATTTCTTGTCTAGACTTTCTACAAAGCAAAATAAACAAAACTCTTTCTCCATACTCACCCCTCTGTCTGTTATTTCTGCCCTCTCAACCTTCCAAGACAAGTTTTCCACCTCGGCTTCAAGCTGGGCCTGCTGGTATTCAAACTGGAAACAACAATAACACTGACTCAAGTTGTCCAAAGAGAATTTCTTTAACTGTGTTAAGCACTAAGAATAACACAATTATTTTTCTTCAATCAACAGCTAGTACTGAATTGTTGTTAACCTCTTATATTTCAATGTCTATCTTGTCTAGGGGGAACCTTCGCCTGGAATATACCAATACTAGCTGCTGATTAAAGAAAAATTAAGTTTATACCAATATATACCACAAAACAAGCCTACACTGTAATTTTAATCATATGACCATCAAATGAAAAAGCTAAGAAGAGTATAACATTTAGGGTTTTGGGATAAGTTAAAACCAACCAGAACGTACAGAATATCTCCATAGTTTGAAAGACAGCTGTTTATCTAGCATATACAATGTGCTTACCAATGTCTTTCTGGCACCTTTATTCATGTAGTAAGCATATGGATAAGTAAACTGAAGGCTGTAGCGACACTGAATAGAAAAATATTATACACATAAATATAAATATTTATTTCAACACAGTGTATATAAAGACATAGTAAATATTTTAAGAATAAAGTCTTCACAAATTTGATTTGAATAAAAAATGTGTCAAAATACAAAATTTAATGTGCTATTAGATTAGATTTAATGTGCTATAATAATCAATATGATGACTCTATACGTTCTAAAGCCATTTTCTTAGCAGTCAGACTCACAGTGTGCTGGTAAATTTCAACTTCAAAGCTCATTTAATTTACTGCCATTGAATCAAAATAACATCCTCTTTGCCTTACCTTTTTCAACAAAGCGGTAGCGTCCAGTAAATACTGCCAGTCGATCCACGTGCCTTCATTCTTCATCACTTTCTCATTTATTCTGTCTTTAATCTTCTGTGATGTCTTCTCTTCCAAGGCTAAACTTTTGGCATGGTTTTCCCACTAAAAGAGAGAATATGATTATACTGTTAATGTCATCTAATATTATTGTATAATTGTTCTTATAAGATAAGTACTGTACCACGAATCATCAAAATACCAGGAAAGGACTTGTTGATTCCCTGAATTCCTTATTAAGTATAATGGTATTTTTTTTTTTTTTGGAATAGTTACCCTTTCATAATAGAAGAGGTATTTCTTGAGAGCTTCCCTGGCCTGCACATGGACAGATTCATGAGCTATGTTGGGGTTTTCCTTGTAGCGACTACATTCATAGTATTCACTGCCATGATTCTTCCAGTCTGCAATGAATGGGAGTACAATGCATTACATGTATCAACAGAGTATTGGTGGTAAAATTTGTTGGTTAAAATGTGCTTGATGATGCACTACTTGTGTGAAAAAGCAAAAGAAAAACTTGAAAAAACATTTAATTATTTCCAAATCTGTAACACCAAGCAAATAATTAAATCAAACTTGGGGTGAATTTTTTAACTGTTATATTTTGAATCACACACAACACTTTAAAAAAAAAAAAAAAAAAAGAAAAACGATAAACAGTCAAGTTGTAAATAATTAAAAACTAAAGGGATCACAATGACAGTGATGACATGGACAGCTAAAAGCGACGACAATATGCAGCAGCAGATTATTAATTGATTAAATCTTGGTAACTGCTTAGAAATGAAGAGCATAATGACCAGTGTTACCCACCTCCCAAACACATCCAGCAGAAGTCATATTTACACTTGGAGCATTGCTGGAAAACAAAAGGTTACATAGCATATAATTATTTACATCACAACTAGCCAAACTGAATGGAAATCAACCAAGGCTGTCAGCACTGCACTTAATTGCTCGACTTAATGCCAAGTCACAAGACTTTGGCCTATCCCAGATGACTCCTGTTAACTTTAATATTCAGGTCACTTTACTTTTCTTTTTCGGTTTAAAAAAATAGATATGTAACATATGGCACGAACTGTGCTATAACTAGTTACTGAGTATTGTCAACATAAGTATTTTTAACTTCTACGTATTTCCATACTAAAAATTTTTGATCAGTTCAAAATAAGAGAGATTTCCTTTTTTACTTTAAAAATCTAGGGCACTTAGTGATTTTGAACGTATGAAGACCCCCCCCAATAACTCACCATGTGGTTACATCCACCATTTTTCTCAATACACACATGACACTTGGGACACTAGAAAAGTAATTAATTCATACAGAAATTAGAATTAATCAAATCATTTAACATATGGAACATTAATTACAGTTAAAACATTTGAATACATACAAGATGAATTAATTTTTCATAACATTTTAGTCATCCTCATATTATCTGTCAACCTGTTACCTCAATGATCAAATAATGGAGTGAGAAAAATAAAATTAGTTGAATATCTTTTTAGAACAAATGCTGTGCAAAGCAAAGCAAACATGTATTCTTCAATAATTTTAACCAAAACAAATTTCTTTATAATTTCTGAAAATCATAATTAAGCTCTGAAAAATGCATTTTATTTAATAATAACTTCAAATATACTTACATCTTTTGTATGGGCACTTATATAGTTAGCGGTCTCCGAGTCGTCCGCACATTTTGTTAGCCACTTTTTGATGGTGTCGCAGTCCGTGGGTGCGTGGTAATCCATACCACATTTAAAACTGGAAATAGAATGAAAATATGAAAATGCCTCTTTTGTAATTTATATATGTGTGCATTCTCTTTTTTTTTTATTGCTTTAGTCTCAGTGTAGACATTTTGTACGGCCCAATGAGATTTTAATGAAATGCACAATAAAAACTCAATAAATACATCATCATAATCATTGAAAAGACAACCACTAAGAACAAAGAGTACTCACCAGAATGCCGTCTTGCATTCTTTGCACACCACCCTCTTCCTCTTGCTCTCCAGAGCTCTGACCACTGTGGCGCAATTGGCTCCTGGACAGAACCGCAGCTCAGGATGACTCTGATATAACACAAATATTGCATTAAATTTCATTATCTGTATTATCATTATACCTCTATATTATTTCAATAATTACTACATATAATCACATTGCCAAATGTATACAATTGATACATTTTTAAAGTTTGCTTTTTGGAAATAAAACCAGGTTAAATTTGAAAGAGTTCTACCCAAAGCAGAAAATTCAAAAATAAAATTCTAATCATTCACATAAAACGGAATCAAAATGTTAATTAACATGTTATGGTCATTCATATTATCACTGGACATTAAAACTCAAAGTCTTGGGTAATAATAGATTATTAATAAATAAATGTGCACGCGTGTGAGCATGTGTGTATGTGTACACAAAATCTTGCACACTTAAATTAAAATGATTCACAATATTCTGAACAAAGCAGCCATGTTGGTCCTACCTTTACATAGTCACTGAAGGCAAACCTCTGATACTTGTCCCTTATCTCAGGCTGCGACACCGTGCTTAGAACAAAGTCCTCGGTGGCCAGAATATTGCAGTCTTTGCCCATACATTCTATACCTGAAATGGCAGTGAAGTTGAATAACAGGTTTGTTTTGAGGATTTCAAATAATCAATGATTTATAATTAGTGACATGTGAATGGACAATTTTAATGAATTCTGCTTTTTAAAAACTGGTTTGTTAAAAGAGTCAAATATCATAAATGGGCCTTTGTCATGATTTTAATTTGTTGTTTGTAAATTTCTTCTGCCAATACTCTGCCAACAATTTTTCAGAAAAATTTCAAATGTGACCTTAAGGAAATCTGTTGTTGTGAACAATAATGATATGCAAGTTCATTTTTTTAAACGAAAGAGGATTCGGTAGTGTGAAAGAGGATTCAAATGGCAAAACATTGTAAAATCTTAGAGGAGGAATCATCTAGAAGAGGAAAGATTAATGAGCTTATCAGAATTTCCATAAATGGGCCCAATTTCCCTGAATTTGATTATGTGCAAGCAGCATTGAATTTCTGTGCTTTAAAGCAACCTCCATACATTTAACGGTTGACTGCACCAGAAAATAACGAAATCAATCTATGAAAATGAAAGTTGTTTTGTCATGAGTTTCTGATGAAGCAGCCTGCATAGCACTTACCCTGGCACTTTTTCAAGTATTTATTCCATTATCTTTATTTGGGAACAACACATATTGCACTTTAGTCCTCACCAGCAAGGCAAAAAAAATGATCACAGAAAATAATCATTTATAATATAAATAAGGAATAAAATTTTCAATTCCAGTGGGGTTCCAAGGGACTTTCCTTTGCTAACTGCCCAGCGCAAACACTGTGTTCTTAATACTTAAGTGTTTCTTACCGGTAGAAACCCCCTGTTCTATTTGCATTTTGAAGTACATTCCCCAGCAATCTTTGCAGTACTGATGTCTACAGGACAGCTCCTGCATGTTCTCTATGGGGCATCTCTGCACACACACAGAGCAAAGGAAAGAGTTGCTGATCACAGGGGGCTGAAAAAATTTGAAAACTTAATTAAGTTGCTGATCACAGAGGGTTTAAAAAATATATAAGAAAACTAGATAGAGTTGCTGATCAAAGGGGGCTGAAAAAATATGAAAACTTTATCACAGGGGGCTGAAAAAAATTGAAAACATCATGAAGTTGCTGATCACAGAGGGCTGAAAAAATGTGAAAACTTCATAGAAATGCAGGGGGGTTGTAAAAACTTGTGAAACATATTTTCAACAAGCTTGGAATGCATCTATGGTTATAGTGTACTCTTCAGGATTCCTTTTTACAGTAACAAGGGTCATTCTTACTTGTAAATTTCAGCCAAACGCTAAACATATTCTAATTTGGATTAAGAAGATGTTACCTATATAACATTACTTTGTTTTGTCAAATTTCACATCAGTCAGGCATATTATGATTTGTTTGTTTTTTTTTCTTAAGGCACCCAACTATCCAGCTAAAAAGAAATTTTACCCTGCAGGGAGTCCTAACAATATCCTGTCATATCACAGCAACCTCAGGAAACCAGGTAATTTTTTTTTTATTATTTTTGACAAATTAGTATGACATGTAATCATATTTTAGTGATTACATAATAATCTAAAACAATCCCATCTTACTTAAGAAAAGCCATATCATTACTTGAGTAAAAAAAAAATCATTGTCAATAACAAAATGCCCCCCGCCTACCTTTGGCTTAATTGCTGGTTCTAATTTAGAGTCTACCATTAGCTTGTGTGGATCTCTCTTGTGTCTGGAAAGAAGGTTTATAATATAGTTGCATGATCAGGGTGAAAATGAAAACTTGGCAACTAGACAATACTAAATTGCATAACTGGTACATGATCTGAAATCCCCACTCACTTGCCAAGTTTTGTCCATTTTTAATTTCACAAGAGATTTGGACCCAATTAACACTCTAGTGAGTGTCTGAAAAACAATGTAGCATTCAAGAATATCTTTCAACCAACATACACCAAGGATCCAATCTGAACCATGATTTCATCTAGGTTCTATGCTATTCTTTGACCCCCTCCCCCCACCCACTTTGAAATTGCTGGCTTCAAACCTGGTATTTAGCATCCCAGCTATGCATGCCTGCAAGATATGAGCTTTATTTGAATGCATGATGCACTCATCTCGAACATGGACTACAATGTGCCTAACACAAATGTTCACTTTTTTATTACAAACTGTTATACATACTGAAAAATATTATTTATTTTTAATTCTATTTTTTTAAATTAATAAAATGGTGATAACAATAAATAAAAATTATATTAATATGGCTGCAATGTGAGCTGTACACACAACATTACTTTAATGGACTTTTATTTTGAAAGCAAAATTAGCAAATTAATTGAAAAGAAATGACTCATCACCTTTGTTCTACCTCTGTCCTGGCCCAGTTATGTCGATGTAATAGCACCTTGGCAAGAGATGGGGGAATCTGGAAACATAACAAGAAATGGTGGCTTAACTTTTCTTGGAAAAGTGTCTCGTTGCCGTTCTTAGAATACCTCCTACTAGTACTAGTAGATATTTGTCATGCAATAATAATAACACTGGGATTAAGAAAAATACCCAAGTTAAAGTATGAAACATTAATTTTACCCTCTTGTGGTTTTATTATTCAATCCCATATCTTAATCTTTTTAAATATTTATTTAGTTTTATATACCTTGGTAATTGCGTTCTTAAGTACTTGTTTTTATGAAAAGTCTAAGGAACATTTTGAATTGATTTTAGACTTAAAATAATAATAATAATAATAAGGTCAATTCAAAAATGTTAATTATATAATGAATTTGAAAGTGTAGCTTTCCCTTTTGTCCCTTTTTTTCACTCATTCATGACTGGTACATACTTCCATAAAAAGCAGTGGCACTTTATCAGTTGTTAACTAGTACATGTTTCTGATAGACTCTGTGTTCACTTCACTGTGACAACAAAAATCAATATCCATGCCAGATATTCGCTGAGACAAGACTGTTACATGTACTAGTACAGATTTGAATTTATTTTTCATATGTTACAAGTAGATAGCACTGAGATTTGTAATCTATTTCTGAATCATGGCATTTGGTGTTTTTTCTAACACACTGTGTATATCATTCATGGTAAAACCAAGATACACGTAATTTTATACTGTGTTGACAACAGTCCATGTCTAGAAATACATTGTGTCAGTGCTGATGCACTCTGTATGGGTGCTTCTATTAGCTCCACATATTGATCCAAATCTAAAAGCATCTGCTGCATTAATATGTGTCTACAGTATGTTGTCAACTGTACAATGGAAGTCCAAGTGTAAATATTGTGAATAAATTAAAACATGATTCTGTCCTGTGAAGCAACTATAAAAGATGAAATAATATTTTAACCACTTTCTACTTTGTTTGCTTTTTTTTCGAATTGCAAAAAAGTATTTTATATTTTCTGTCATACAAGGACAGTCAAAATACCACTTGACCCACGTTATAGAATGTCACAGCGGTGTTATACCAGCACCATGATGGTTTATTTTAAATACTTAGTCATTTAATTTTTAAAGTTGATTCAAATTTAAATTTACCATAATCACCATCTTTTCAGATACATAATTCTATCATCAAAAAAATTTATATTTCTACATAGCATTTGTGGTGCTTTTGTTATAGAGAATAGAATTATAGAGCAGCCTGCTCTTTTAATTTTATGTTGCTACCACTCAATAGGAAAGTTCCAATCTTAAGAAATTATCACTTAAAAATACAGAACAGTACCTGTAAAATTCACAATATTCCCCCATTTGAAAAGAACAGGAAATTGCCATGTCACAATTATCAACACTGTTCTTGGTTAGTATATATATGACCTGAACATTTTGGTAATTTCCAAAACAGCAGAGAATATACAGAGTATTTTCATACCATCCCTTCCACATTCAGATCACAGTGACTCACCTCCAATGAACTACATAGAGCTTCAACATTCTCATTTAATAATCTGTCCACATCTTCAATTTTCAACAGTTCATATTCAAAATACTCAGGATCCTCACATGGATTTGGCTTGTCGAATTCCACATCTTGGTCATCGCCATAGTAATAGTTATAATCTACTTCATCATCATCCATATTGTCTGAGTCATTCTCATAGTCAGAAGTATCAGAACACTGGCTCCGCATCTCCACAGACATTTTGAGATTTGGTCAGCAATAATGTTGTACACAACTGTGAAATAAAGCAAAAAGAGTAATGTAAAAATTATTTGGCAAAATAAAATGTTCACAATGCTGTACTAGTAAGTGAAATTTTCAGATCATTTTATTATCTGAACACATTATATAGATACAGTTGATAACTGAATCAAAATTAACAGAGTATTTCATACACCCATCAGAATTATAACTTACAATTGTTTAATAATGAAAACATTGTGCTTCAAAATCCCCCTTTATCTTGTTTATCCACCAAAAAATATTGGTTTAAGTTATCATTTTGGTTTAGATACATCAACATACGTGGAAAAAGGGGGATTCAGCAGGTTCAAATAACTGCCCTTTTGCTTGGAAAAGGTCCACTCTGAACAAAATTTGATCTATGAACAGGAAAGTTTCATGGTAAAAGGCCCACTTTTGCAGAATGATAACCTTCTTTGAAATTGCTAGTTATAGGCCTGAAATAGCTTCCTACTAACGATTAGTTCTTGCATTAATAAAATAACAGGATGATGGAATCTGAGTATCAGTTGATACTTCCTCTTTCTTTTTACCATCACTGTATCTTCAATGTTTCTCGCGAGTTGCTATGTATATTGGTTCGACAAATGATCTTTGTCCTTGTCATCCTTTCAACTCCTTTTTTCCATTACAAAACCTACTTTTCTATCTTTAATCTTGTCGGTTGCTTTGTTTTCATTTAACACATGAACTATATGAGTATTTTTCTTTATTCAGGTATATACATGGAACTTATTTGTTCTTTGAAGACAGCCTTACTTTTTGTATATGTACATTTTGTCATTGAAATATTTAGTGTCTTTGTTCAATCTGGTCAGTGGTTTTTTGGTGGTGTGTGTAGTAAATGCATTATAAGTGTATTTTTCTTTATTCAGAAATATAAAATAACATAATATGCCAAGAAGACTTACTGGGCTCAGATACATTAACATTTATAATGTGTTAAGTACACTTTTCATACTAGAGCTGCTCTTCACAAACAGATCATTGGAAATGTCTTTGCTCTTTTGAATGTCACTTCATCTATTTATTATACAGCATCAACTCATATTGTGCAGTGAAGGGCAGTCAGTCAGTCACAATTTTTTTTTAGAAATTAATATGATCCATATACCTTATCCTATCCCATAGGTCAGTAAACAGTCATTTTAATGAAAGAAAAGTTACTTCAAAAGTCAAAACAGTCCTAAGTGATAAACCAGCCAAACAAATTTCCCTAAATTGCTTTTAGTATTATGTAACATTTTCACATTGTCTTTCTTTCACTTCATATAACACGCATTTACTGTTTGTCCTATGTTCAACAAAAAGCAAGAGTTGGATACGATGACTCATATATTCAGGCGCTGTTCAGAATTTCTCAAATGTCAGTTCATAGTTACTGCAATATGCTGAAGATCTTACTCGAAAACGAAAACACAACAACCAAAACAAAGCCCATCTTCACAAAGGCCAGCGGGAGAAACGTGTAAATGTTAAAAATATTACCTTCTTAAGACAATTTTTACTATCAAAGCCTACAAATTAGCAGCCACTTACTTTCTGGAACACTGTGTGTCCTTTTCTGAGCACAGAAATATGAGTATAGTCTTCCAGACGAAAAGATGTTGTACAAGAAAAAATTTCCAACACAAAGCACAGAAGAAGGAAGTGACGTCACTGTTTGGGTGCTCGATCCTTGACCTCAGTTGGCCTAGATATTTCCGTCCTGTTTGTTTCCAAATCTTTACAGCTGTTTCACCATCATAATAATGTAACCATCACTCACCACACACAACTTTCTAATAGCTGCATCACTAAAGTCTAAAATCCCATTTCAATGGAGAAAACAGCATGAAATAGACCGGAAGCTCCAGTAGCAGACGGCGTAGATGCATTGTGGATCTTTTTAAAAGGAGAGGAATTTTTGGTTTGACGAAACACGGAACACTGGTTGGTTTAGAATAATCGTGCTATTACATTATTATCTGCAATGTTTTTCGTCGAAAGTATCATCCTAAGTGTATTCTGCATGGTATTTCAATTAAGACTAGTAAAGTTCATTTGCAGAAAGAGATATATAAAAATGAAATGTAACCGCATCCACTGATTTATATTTATACATGTACTACCAGTAGAACTACTGTACATGACTGTACTAGTACTTCAAGTATTCATGAAATTAGACCCACACGTATATTTTAAATTAATGCCTGAGACTAGAAATTTTGTATACATTCAGACAACCACATGTTTGATTAGGAATAATTCCTAAATCATTTTAACTATAATCCCATTTACAAATGTAGGTAAAAGACATTAATGTTTTATTGACATGTTTTCCAAACTTTCAGAAGTCATTCTCAGAAATGAGCCAATAAAGTTTCCCTACTTTATTTAACACCCTTATACTAAATATTCTCACACACATCTTAATTTTGTCATACAGTAAGTATCAGAGCTGGCATGACAAAACAGCTCAGACTAGGATTTTCAGATCTAAAGTAGCTAGGATTTTTTAAAGCACAATGGTATGCCACAGTGAAGACATTTAAGTTGGCAAATATCATGAAAGGGATTAGAAGCAAAACATTATAATATGGTGTATTTATATCTTCAGATATAAGGTCATGCTAAGTGCTCTCTCCAAGGTGGTTTCCTACTTCTTCTATGAGGAGGATGGGGAAGACAGCAGAGAGGAAGCACCATCATCACCACACTTTGATATCTCTGGAAATCCTGACACCCAGACAGAGAGCAGTGTGGATAGTGGACTATCACAGACTAGTAGGACTATAGATGGCACTGTGACCAGTCTCCATAATGGCTATGGCCTTGTTGACAATGAAATTTATTTTACCTTTGATTCTGTCATAGGAGGTTGTCGACCTGCTCTTGGTGCTCATGTGCATGTGCAGGCAGTGAGGCAGAAACAACATGGCGGCTGGCAAGCTCAAAGAGTTGTCATTGAAGATTCCTCATGGGATGGTGGACAAAAGCTTCACAACAACAATTATAACCCTATCATATCTCAAGATGATCCAGAACAAGTTGCCATTAGAGACACACAAGTTGCTATGGTAACTAGTATTAAAGGAGATTTGGGCCTCCTCAATGATGAAGTTTCGTTTTCGGTCCAGAGTGCTGCCCTACATGGATTTGCTCCATATAGAGGGGACTGGGTCGTTGCACAGACCACTACAAACACAGAAACAGGGTATTGTACAGCAGAGAGCATTTCTCCTCTAAGAGAACAAGACTTCAGTGGGGAAATCAATGCAGTGCTGCATGGCTATGGTTTCATAGATGAGGAGATATACTTTCCTCTCTCTGCCTGTGTACAGGGGTATCAGCCAAGGAGGGGAGACAGAGTGAAAGGAGTTATGCTGGAGAGCAGACAGGGCAAGTGCTCCTGGAGGGCAAGAACTGTGCTGCCATCTATTGGAGTTGGTGAAAGTGATAAGTCTAGCAAGACAGTATTAGAGAGGTGTGTACAGGGTACTACTGTTACTGTAGAACATTCAGTTTGCCAAGATATAAATTTGTTCTTTTTTCCCCATTCATCCCTCAGTTGTTGTCTGTGATTTTGTTATTTAGTTGACAGAATATTGATGTCCAAATGGCCAACCTTCATTGTGCAAGTACTTCGGTGGCAAGTTGCTAATTTCTGCCTATGCTGTTTGATATTACACCTGTAACTGTTACAGTTAAAGGAACTGAAAATTGTGCATTTTCAACAATAACAGCTTTAATTTTGAGATATTATGGACAGATAAAGATTTTTAAGTATTTGAAAACAAGTTAGCATCTGTGTCCAGATCAAAACAGCAACTTATTGAAATCTTATAAATATTCTTATTGGTATGTACTTTAGTCCTTTTCCAGTCATCAACGGCCCCAGTTCTGGTGGATTCTTGAAGAAACTACTGCAAGACAAAGGCGGTATCACTATTAGCCAGAAGACAAACTTTGGCAAAATGGAATTGGGAGAGCTGAAGTCATTAGTTTTGTGGATCAGGTAAATTGAATAGACATATCAAATGCTTAAAAAGTAATTATTTTTAGCTCTTCTTTTAATTTCATGCTAATTTTCATTAGAAATTTGATATTACTGGAAACTATACCAGTCCAGTTGACTCAGACTAGCATTATCAGAATTATTATTTTAAAATTACAGTGAACTTAATGTGTCACCTAACTACTTGATTAAATTTTTCACGAAAAAAATTAATTATTACTATTAGTTTTATATTTTTTATTTTTCATTAATTATTATCATTTCTGAATTACAGAAATACCAATTCAAATGAGACAAGAACACTGAAGAGTTGCAGGTTTAAGACACACCCAGCAGCGCTGCAGTTTGCAGTGACTGTGCAGCAGCAAACCCCACAGAAAGGTGATGTTGCAGGAGAAGGGCAAGCTTTGCTACCTGGCACTACAGTATTTGTCACTGTGGAATGCAAAGGGATGTGAGTACAAATTCTTATTCTCATAAGGACATGCTAGTAACTGTGACTGCAGTTGTATTGTATTGCAAGTTGTATGTAGACTGGAGTACCACTGGTAATTTTCTTCTCTTGGCCAAATCACCACATTTTCATCATTTTTTCTCCAAATGGTTTAAATTTGACATAAACAAGTCAAATCAACCATTTTTTGTTTAGCCAACTTTAGTCAGTTTTAACATTTGGCTTAATTTGCAAGTGTTAGCACTACCCCTGACAGATATTGTCTGTCAACACCTAATTTTTTACAAAATTTTCATACAGGCACCTAGGACAGGATAAGCAGCTGTTGATATTTGACTTTGATGGATACACCATAGGCCGCTATATGTCAGTAGATGTGCAAGATCCACAGCAGACCAGCCTTGACCCATCAGCTCCATACAACAGGAAGAGGAATTATGGGAAGTACAAGGCAGCCAGTCAGAGAAATGGAAGCGAATCTTGGGTACTACCTGGTCAAAGGCCCCAAAGGTTTGCTGGATCAGTTTTATTACAAGTGACCTTTTCTAGGTTTAAGTTACCAGTCATATGTATGTAAATGAATTATTTGCCAAATGTTCAAGATGGTGAACTGGACAAGACAAAAAAAAAAACAATTCAGTTTGCCTGCGGCTCTTTGCTGTATATGATAGTTTTATGTCTTTCCTCACTATTGAACAAGTTCAATCAGCCTGAGACAATATCCAGTTACCATTGCATATTAGTAATATTTATCAAAGACTTAAACTCAAAAGAAAAAAAAAATTGATATGCATAGACCTAAAGACCTTGCATGTGCAACAAAATATGAATTATTTGCTGGCTTTAATCACCACAGTTGGTTTTTTCTTTCTTAGAATGAAATCCGTGCCATTTCCTGCCAGGTTGCCACAGTTTGAGATTCCCAGAGAACTGAAGAATTGTATTTTTGAAAAAAGGGAACTAGTAAACCTAGCACCTGAACTAGGTGAGGTAGGTTGACAGCACAAACTGTGTAATAGTAAACTTGTGGTTTGTCTGGTACAATTCTCATGTTCTTCTTAAGAACAGATTGAAGTGAAAATAGATTAGGCTTTACTGATGATGTGATAGACAAGTTGCTCGTCAGTGTTTGCCTTCAGAGCAGGAAGATGTGAGTTTGATTCTATCTGGGGACACACCAGTGCTTCCTATCAGTAGTTAAGGGTTGAAGCAATGATTAAGAAGTTCATGGCATGGCAGTGAAAGGTTTTGTTAACTTGCTAGCTTATAACGCCTCATATGGCAGTTGGGATTAAGCTCCCCATGGAGATGAGTATGTTAACACCCAACCAGTATCAGAGTCAAACGTGACCATGTCTCTTATGTACAACTGCAAAGAGAGACATGTTTATTATGGTATACAAGAACTGAACTTAACATATGTACTTAACTTTTATTTGAAGTGCAGAAGGTCTTTTGTATAATCTGGCTGTTGGTTGTAAAGGTACAGTCATTTGAGTGAGGTATCACTATATTTATCTAACTGATATTTTTGTTTCAGCCACTTTCAATGCAAAACTACACAACACGCTTCTCAACCTTGCTACACTTGGAGGAAATCCAGATGGAGATTGAGATTCGAGATTATGACCTTGAAAGCGTGACCTTAAGGCGGGTGGGAGAGTATCTAGCCCTAGCTGTCCCTGGCCTGGCTGAGGGCAGGCCCTCTGTAGCTATAGGGGACAAAGTGGTGCTGTCCCACCCTGGGGATATGGAGGTTGGACCCCAGTACGAGGGATACGTCCATGTGGTGCTCAGTGAAGAAGTTTTGCTCAAGTTTCACAACTCTTTCCATCAGAATTATTATGCTGAAGAATATGATGTGATGTTTACCATTAACAGGTAAAAAAGGAATGAATAAAGAAACACTTCTATATTCTTGTAATTGATTATGATATCTGTTTTGTGTCATATGCCTCATGTAAACAGCATTTATGCTGAAGGGTGTTTAAAGTATAAAAATCACCATAAAAGTTAAATATTTTTCGCTACATATATTATTATATTAGTATATGATATTGGATTGACTCAATGCAATTTTTTTAGCAGAAAGGTTAAACTAGCCAACAATGTTTGAACATAATATTTTCTTATTCACGTTTTTTTTTTTCTGTTTCAGAACTCAGTTACGAAGATGCCATCAGGCTGTGCGCTTTTCCAAACATTTAGGAACAAAAGGTACACTGTTACATTATTTTGCCTATTTTTAATATAGAGGTATATGCAGCCTGAAGATCCATGGAATATGTTTTGTGTGGTTTTAACTTCACTCAAAAGTGATTGCAAGTTACAAGTTTGAAATGCAATACTGCATTAATTCAAAATCCACGGACCATAAGACATTCCTTGCAATCCAATGTGCAGATGCTGATGTCCTGAGAAAATAATATAATTTTTATACAGTATGTGAAAAAAAAGGTGCAAACTTGTCCCTCAAACTTTATTTAATGAATGTTCACAAGGGCATGGTATATTTCAGTTTTATTCCCAGTACAGTTGCATCCCAAGATGCCAGTCCCTTCCAAAAGTAGTGCCAAAGTAACGGGTGCCAAAAGCTCCCAGCATTTCTTCAACACAGTATTAAATTGCCACCAGAGGGCAGCAGTGAGCAGGATCTTAGAGGGCCAGAGCAGGCCATCACCCTATGTACTGTTTGGGCCACCAGGTAAGTCGGATACTGTTGTCTGCTTCTTGAGGAGAGTCCATTTTAAAGAAGAGGGGTGTTTGCTTTTAGGAGACTCATGCCTTTTGTTTTGTCCAAATTTCTGGGTTCAGTAGTATATTGTGACTGTTTTATAGTAAGAAAGATGTGGCTTATGTTTCTGACCCATACTTAATTTGTTTGAATTTTTTTTCAATTTTTTGGTCTAAAAGTTTAAATGAGAACCACTTTTGGGCTAATTTGAAAGTTGTTTTTCACAAACCAACCCCAAGCAGTACAGACAGTTATAACAATGCGGCATACATTTTTAACTTTGAACTTTTTTTCAAAATATAATGAATTTGATGATAACCTTGATCATATGATAAGAAACAAAAAAAGATTAACTTAAGCTGCGCTTGTTTTGCATCTGATACCAGAATTTATAAACAATCCAGGTACAGGGAAAACTGTCACCATGGTGGAGGCTATCCTGCAAGTACTTCACACCATACCAGGCAGCAGAATACTGGCGTGCGCCCCATCCAATAGTGCTACTGATCTACTGGTAACTGATGATTTTAATTTTTTATTATCACAGTCTATGCAGAATAAATGTAGTGATTGATAAATAAACGTGGCTGAACAGCCTAATAGCTGACCTGAGAAAATAAAGTAGAACATAGTCATTTACTTAATGGTCAAGTTTTCTAGCAGAGTGATAAAATCAAGCTCTGTCATAATGTTTGTGTTTCACTCAGCTCTCACTTTGAGAACTAATCACCACCAATTTTGTATGTGGGGTACCTTAAGTATGAAAGGAAAGTGGTGATATTTCCAGGGAATATTTTTTATAAATTGTTTTTTCATTTTACTGTTTTATTATGCATTTTAAGCATAATTTTGATTGCAATTTGCCTTTTTCAGGCAGAGAAACTTCTTCAAAGTAACCTTGTAAATAAAAGCGATCTTGTCAGGTTGAATGCTTTCAACAGACTTGATGATGTAAGTAGTCACATGGAGTAACATTCTATTTTTTTTATCTGCTTAATAATATTATTTATAAGAATTTAATATGGTTACATACAGCAGTTCAATTAATTTTTAAATATCGGTCATTTTTATAATTATAATTTTTTATACAAGTTGCAATATCATGCTTGTAACAAAAAAAAAAATCAAAACTTATCAGGTGACGCTAGTTAAACCAATTTGCAGTTTAAGAACCATTTTAAATTAACATTCAGACATTGATTTGGAAATGTTATATTATGAAATATTGTGTCAAAACTGTTGTAAGAAATAATGTTGATTTTTTCTTTGAGAGCCCTGCTGTACACCAGTCTCAGTACTGCTGACTTAGAATTTGACATTAAGAAAGAGAGTTTGAATTAAAAGATAATGTAAGGCTTTTAATATTTCTTACCAGATAGAATTGTCAACAGGTTCTTCTAAAAAAACAATTTTCCAAACAGGTGGTCCTATCATTTTTAACATAATTATATCATATTTATGATGCAGTTTCTCAGCAATGTGACCCCCTGTTTTCCAGAACATTCCAGAGTTCCTAAAGCCTTACTGTACAACGGGGGACAACCTGGAGGTGGCCTGCAGACACAGGGTGGTCCTCTGTACCTGTATCACAGCAGGACTCCTGAACACTGTGGGACTTAAAAGTGGTCACTTCACACACGCATTTATTGACGAGGTAACAGGGACTTTGCTGATAGTTCTTGTATTGAACGTGGTGCTATAAGAGAACTAAAGAGTAGCCTGCTTTTTGATTTTGTTGCTCCCGCTCAAATTATGGATTAAAAAATACAGTATCTGTAAAATTCACTATTTCCCCCACGTTGAAAAGATGAAAGTAGTTACCATATATCACACCATATAACTGTCTTCATACAGGCTGGCCAGGCCACGGAGCCGGACTGTGCTGTACCAATGAACCTGATGGTGGGGGAGGATTCTCAGGTCAGGGTCTCCTTAAAACAAAGCATTGTAAATTATATGTTTACAGTATCACAGTCACATCAATTTTCCCCCTTTTCTTTAATGCCAAATTATGTTTGTAAATTTCTCTTTGAATTTCTTGTTTTATTTAACTGGGCCTATCATTTTATAATGCCAGGCCACTTTTTATGTTTGATTAATAATATAATACAATTGATTGGAATTTTTAAGGGGTCACACTTGTCAGAAAACATCAGGTTAACAATGAAACTATTGACAAACCAAGTTCTGTCATCTTGATGATCTTGTTAATCTAGACAGTTTTTATTACAAGCCACACCCGTTTTCTGTTTGTCTCTTTTTCCTCTATATTTTTTTTCCAATTTGAAATGTTTCAGATTGTGCTAGCAGGAGACCCCATGCAGTTAGGCCCAGTTCTGAAGTCCCGCCATGCTATCACATATGGCCTTCAGTATTCATTCTTAGAGAGACTAATGGACAGCCCACTCTATGCTCGGGACATGGTCAGATTTGCTGACCATGGCAATTATGACCCGTTACTGGTAAGAAGGTGTTTGCTGCATCACTTATATCCTGTTGGAAGTTGTTGCTTTTGTTAGAGTGTATTTGTGTTATAGTAATGATTGTACTAATAATGAATATTAATATTATTATTATTAGTAAAAGTAGTAGTAGTAGTAGTAATACTGTAGTGTTTTTAATGACAAAGTAAAATAATAATGGACCGGGTATGGAATAAGCCCAGTGATGTACTTTCTTATTTTCAAAAGTTTTTTGTCTGTTTTCAGGTGACCAAACTGATACATAACTACAGATCTCATTCAAAACTGCTACAGCTGCCCTCAGAACTGTTTTACCACGGTGAGCTCAGAGAGTGTGGCAGCACCTCTGTGACCCACTGTATGTGTGGCTGGGACAGGTTGCCCAATAAAGATGTTCCAATTATATTCCATGGATTGAGGGTAAGGAGAAAACAAAGGCAGAACCCAGTACTGTGTGCACGTTAAACTTTACAGACCAGAGGTCTCTTGGTCTAGACTGGTAGGACTTACAAAACTACCAGTCAGGATGAAAACAAAGTGGTTTGGTCATGAGATCTTTAGATAAATTAATAAAAAACAGTCTAAAACTAAAATTAAATGCTAAAATTCCTACAAGTCCAGTTGTACTGTCAAGTATATGGGAATTTTGAAAATCCAATTTTTTTCCTAATTGACACTAACTACACTAGACCATTGCCTCAGACCCGCATCTGATCTTGCCAAGTCTTTTTTTCTTCAACATTTGCCCTGGTATATACACACAAGACTTGTTAGCAAGGTCCACTCATGCTTTGCACTGACTCATCTATAACTAACAAGATATAAGCTTGCTCTTTATGTATTGATATGGTTGTTTTCCAGGGAGAAGACTTACGAGAAGGTAACAGTCCATCCTGGTTTAACCCAGTGGAAGCTGTACAGGTGATGAAATACCTGCAGGCTTTGGTGAACAACCCGCGGTGTGCAATAACATTTGATGATATAGGAATCATAACTCCTTACAGAAAACAGGTATGGGAATATTATTATTATATAAAATCAGCTACTAAATTACATATATTTCCTGTAGAATTAAAAAAAATTAAATACTGTATTTTGTTATTTTTTTGCAAAAAGAAAAAAGTCCATTTCAAACTTTTTCATGCAGATATTCTTGTTGGCTTGTGCACAAGATATATTTCAGTTCTCTTTTGTTCTTCACTATTTAGTTACCTACAGAGAAAAGTTAAAATTGTTATGTTGATATGTTGCAGGTGGAGAAAATCCGGCTATTGATTGACAAGTTGGGGATGGAGAAGGTGAAAGTTGGAAGTGTGGAAGAGTTTCAGGGACAAGAGAGACGTGTTATTATCATCTCCACGGTAACTAGCCATTACTGATTTTGGGCCTTAGCTGTTGTTAACACCAAGACTCGTATATTATTAATAGTCACTGTAGTTCAATTTCTCCAGATAGTGCTATGCGTTATTTTGTTGTGAAAGAAAATTTAACATGTGCAATAATGATAATATTTTACCAAATATCTTATTCTGGGCGTATAGATCAAACCTGGTAAATTGATTATGAAATGTGACATACTTATCCATTTGTATAGTCATTGATATCAACCATATGCTAATCTATATATATATTTATTTATCTATTTATGTCTGTTCTATGTTATAGTTACTAGTATTGTAATTGATTGTACCTTTATGTGAAGGTGTTTGTCAATAAAGAATCTGAATCTTCTTGTACATAGATCTGAAGTGTCTACCACAATTTCATTGTTTGCAGTCAACTTTTAGGACTTTGGGGATATTTTGTTTGTCATGTCTGTGATGATATTAAAATATGGAAAATAAAGTATGGGAAGTAAATCTTGAATTGGCCCTTTGCAAATTTATTTGTTTCACTTCAGTTCATTTAATTTCATTTGTATTATATTTAATGAGATTGCATGCGTTTGTCAACCAGGTGAGATCCAATGAGTCACAGATGAGCTTTGACCGCAGGTTTAACCTGGGGTTCCTTAGCAACCCAAAACGCTTCAATGTGGCCATTACTAGGGCCCAGTCCCTGCTGATAGTGTGTGGAAATCCCCACGTTCTAGCTCAGGTAAGACAGGACCATTGAATCCAAATGTATTTATTTATTTATTTATTTATTTACAATAAAATATTTATTCACTGATTACTGCTGTACTTGAAATAATATTTTGATACAGTGACTGTGTGTTAACTAATTATAATATTCATGAACAAACATGTGTCCAAAACGGGTGTGGCAGTGTTCTGAAGAGAAATTCAATGTCTATTTCCCAGTAGCTATACTACAACAAGAGGAGATTGAAAATCAGAAACTTATATAGTTTGATACTAATATATTAGTCACGTATCAGCTTACAGTCAACAGCTCTTAGTATTGCTTCCTGTAAATATATCATCAATTTTGTGGTGTGTAATTACCTCTTACCATGGAAAATCAAGTATGTGTGAAGAATCTTTCTAATCTATGCAAAAAAATTATAAACCTTATTGAGAAATAATGCACAAGTTGTATCAAAACATATGTCAAACATTTCTTTGAAAACAAGTCAAAATGAATATAATCTGGCCCTGATATTATTCCATTTAGTAAAATGCAGAGGTCGGGTAAGCAGTAAAACTTCTGAATGATGGTGTTGACAAATTGCTAGGTTCCCCAGTTTTTGATCTCGGCTACATCCATATTGTTTGACAACAGCTTAGTCTGCTGCACAGAAAAATGGGCATCTCCCTCATATTTATTAATTAAATACATGTAACAGTAACTGCTGCTAGTTCGATGGGACTTGTAAAATTTAACATGGTTGTTTTTTCATTTAATTTATCGATATATGTATAGTCTTCATACTGTCTAATTAATTTTGATTTCAGGCCCATAGCTAGGAAAGTTTGGGGGGAGGGGGTGAATGAACTGCTGGGAAAAATTTGATCTGCATAAGCAAAGGTTTCATGGTAAAAACCCTACTTTTTCAGAAAAAAGAACTCTTCTGTAAGATGTCTGGCTTCGGACCTAGATTAAGAGAAAATCAGAGTACTGAAGTATTTTTATTGGGTTTGATAGTGGGCTGAACAAAACATCCATTTGTTAAATGGCAATCAACCACCCAGTGTCCTGTCAGTAGGTGTTCATTTATCATTTATTTGGCACATCGAGTGATAAAGCAAATGTATAATAAAAGGTTATGATAATAATCCTGCCTTAAAGTAATGAACCATTTGGATATTATAGCGATAAAAACATTTGCACAGTTATGATTTCTTGGAAGGGGGTGACTTCATTAATGGAAACTGTTGCTGAGATAAAAGTGTTTTCGGTCTGTATCATCCATCGTTCAGTGATCAAACATTAACACAGGATTTGATTTTCCGACTATCAACGAATTTCTGACTTTGTGGAAGCCAAAATAAATCATAAGCCTAGGCATAATATAAATTGATGACATAACAAAATATGACGTAACAAAATTGATGTCTGGGTCCATTTACTTAAATCATGCTAATGATCAGAGAGCTTTTATAAGTCAGGTGAAGATGGTGATTGATGGATAGAGAACTAGGATATATTAGAATAGTGTCCTTTTTCAGTTTTGTTGCTAGCTCAGAGTGCTTACTAGCAGGTTCTGATCAGTGAATATTTGGTAATTATAAATGTGATTTGTGTCAGTTCTGATGTCTGAGAAATTAGGAGATGGGGCAATATATTATACACTCACACATGCAAACAATCACAGAATGAGAGAAAGAGGGAGAGTGGTCAGCATAGCCACATGATAGTTACCATTAACTACTTACAGAAACGTAATCACATCAGAGACAGAAATATGGAAGAGCATGACTAAATGATGGACCTATTTCAAGGATGAATATGCCTTCCTCAGATTTTCTACCAGAAGTGGATTATAATATCTTCGGGCCTTATTTTGAGTTCTCAGCAGCGGAAGCGTACACGTAACAAGTTAAATGAATTTGAAATGATAAGTGTTTAACCTGGACTTCGGTGGACCAAGTAGCTGAGTAGTTACTTAAAATGGAAACGTATTTTGACTCTCTTCCAGACATTTTTACCATAATAAACTTCATCATAATTTCTATAGGCATCATTGGCAATCTGCTTGTTTTGTTGATAATTATCTGCAGAAAAACTACAAGAACAAAGATGTACATTCTCATAGGGAACCTGGCTGTGGCAGACCTTTCTTTTCTAGCTCAACAAATGGTAGTCTTTGTCACAAAAATTCCAGAAAAAATATATTTTCTATATAACTACATGACATTTGTGACAGTCACTGTAAGCATCCACACATTGGTGCTTCTAGCTCTGGACAAGTTCATGTCACTTGTGCTGGTCTATACTTCTAGAGTATTTAAGACCACGAGAAACCTCTTCATCACTGTGGTACTGTTGTGGGCTGTTTCAATAGTGGCTTTTTATATGCCTGTTACCATCTTCTTTGACAGTCACCCAGGATTTGTCCATCAAAACGGTCCATACATGACCAGAAATCTCACGTTTGATATTGATACAACACCATACAGAATAACCCTGGCTTGCTTCTTTGTGTTTGACTTCATGCTCCCTCTTATTACGATGACTGTTATGTATTCGATGGTCATCCATCAGTTATTGTGCAAGGACAGGCCTAACCCTGGGAACAGCTCGGCTGAGATGAAGGTCGTTAAAGACAAACAGAGACTCACTGTTGTAATGATGATTGTAACCATTGTATTTGTCGTCTGTTGGTTCCCGAAGTGGGTTAATTTTTACTTTCTGTTTTTCACAGACGTGGATGACAGAAATGAATCATACATGCTTTTTTTAAAATTTACTCATTTATTAGTGGTCATAAACAGTGCCATTAACCCCATACTATATGCGTTTATATACGTGGACTTCAGGAGGGGTGTGACTGTGCCTGTTAACTTTATGAGGAAGCTTTGTTGTAACAAATAATTATATCACGATGCTAAGTAAATATGAAGTTTACACGAATTCAGTTTGTCATTGAGTGTTTTTATGAATACGTCAATTGTCAGTTATGTCAATTTGCATTCAGTTTAGGTTGCATGTTTTTATGACTACTCCAATCATTACAAATAGATGTTTTAGAGTTCTGATTCCCCATGGAATATTGTAAAATATATATGAATGTATTGGATGTGTGCATTTGAACACAATTGTGTAATTCAGTGTTTCTGAGTTTTAGCACAGTAAAATCAGCATCCATTATATACAGTGGTGTTTCTCATTGATTAATTGTATAATTTATACAGTTATAGGCACACAATGCTTGCTAGACTTTTACTTAACCAAAATGATCATGGAAGTTTTCCCTTTTATCACCAACATATACCCTAGTTATAACAGTGAAAACAATTATAATCTACAATGATCCCATTTTTAGTTTTAAATTATAATTCATGATATGTTGTGCCACAAAAAATAAAATTCTTCAGTTTCCATCTGCATTCTGAGAGTGACTCAAAAATCATAAACTTACTAGATACAACTCAAAATTGGGTGTATGGCTTAATTGTAATTATGTGAATGGTTTAGTTAAAGTACTATAATACCAATTTGAAGGTGATAAATGCAAAACTGTTGAGATTTCCAGGAAAATAAAAACATTTGCAACATAGGGGTCTATTGCTCGTCATGTGTCTACAAGGGGGGGGGGGGGGGGGAGGTCAATTGCTGACCACAAGAATGTGGCTTGGGTGATAGTCCAAACTTTAAAGTGACCAGGCAATACAAAATGTATTGTAATATGTACCAAATTCAGGCCTTATAAACAATTATTGCTGTTCATTATACATTAAGTAAACATATATAATGAATGTCTTGTGTGTGTTATTGTGTGTGT